AATTCTGTAACTTGAAGCAGTTTGTGGAAAGTTACCTACAAGACGAAGAACTTATTAAACTGCCAACGCATAAGAAATGGTGCAAATATTTCGATCAGTCTACGAACATCACATGCCACTCCGAAATTTTAAGGATTGAACTGTTTTTCTTTGCTGTTACATCCCACAATGCCAATGTAGAGAGAGTTTTTTCACTGATGCTAAGTCAGTGGACTAAAGAGAGAAACAAGTTGCGACTATAAAAGGCATGTTGACTCTCCAATATAATTTCAAAGATGCACTGTAGTGAATTGTTTTCATTTTTGAAATCAGACAAGAAGAGAATTAGATCTCCAGAAAAATATGCATGGCCAGAAGAGTAAATTTGTAGTGATTGTCTTTAATTTGTTTTAAGCATGTAATTGCTGTTCTTCCGTTTCGGCACAATCTAATTCTCATTCTTATTTTTCACTCTGAAGTTGAGATTTTTCCAGTCGACGGCCCGTAGCTATATTTAGAGTGTGCTTACCTGCCTGGTGTGAGATTCTGCTTGTGACTGAAGACAATACTTTTCATTTCGGTAGCTGTCGCTTTAGCATGAGTATTGTACAACGTTAGCATGAGTATCGTACAACGTTTGCAGCCTTAGCATTTCGGTAGCGCATATATATGGTCTCATGAAAATAGGGACCTCCAGAAACAAGTATGCGCACCAAGATGGCGCACAACCTGAACATACTTTCTGTGTACCGGTTAGGACTAAGGTTGTGCGACATAGTCATGCACTGTCCGGAATTTTGCTTTTTCAAATATGGTAACCCTAATCTAGTGTGCAGTCGGTGTCGTCCAGGTCACAAAGAACGGCTGTTACATTAAAGTTATCGAATTTCCGCAAATAAAGTTATCGAAATTTGCATATAACGTTTGATATTGCATAAATAAAGTAATCGTCGAATGCCGGCAGGAGTTCGGTATAACGTCAAACTGGAAGAAATCATCCTACTGTTGAACATTTGAACTTTTGTTGCTTGTTTGATGAGCACTGTAATTGTACATTATGGATGCACAATCTGTTTCGAAATCAAATTTAGAAGAGTTACGTGCTCGTCTGAAGGAATTATATCAAGATGCTGAGAGACTTATGTCAGACTACAAAAATCAAGATTTGTTGAAATTGAAAAGCGCTGACATTGACAAACGGTTCACAGAGTATTCAAATGCTCATGAAATTCATGTGAGTACTTTACGTTCTGAAGAAGATCGGAGAAATGTCAGCGAATTTTTCCAGTGTGAACTGCGCGAGTTTCAAGAATTTAATGTGCACTTACGTGATTGGTTCAAAAAGAGTGACGCTGATGGTCATAAATCATCGACACATAGCCCTGAAGCACGTTCTGTAATTTCTGGAGAAAGTTCCCGTCGTTCAGGTGCCAGTTCAAGTTCGAGTACTAAACGTACAGAAGCTATTGCCATTAGAGAACTTGCTCATGCTAGTATTTGGCAGCAAGTAGAAAAAGATGCCGCAAAAAAGCGAGAAATTGATGCGAAAATGGCAGCAGAGAAAATGAAATTAGATGCCCAAATTGAAGCTGAAAGGCTGGAACGTGAGGCTACAGAAAATGCTAAAAGGTTGGAACGTGAGGCTACAGAAAATGCTAAAATGTTGGAACGCGAAGCTATGGAAAATGCTAGAAAGCAAGAGCAGGAAGCCCGAATGAAGGCTGAAAAACTTAAACGTGACGCTGAAATAAGAGCTAGACAAATCGAAGAGGATGCTCAAAGTGGAACAAAGCGTTTGGAATTGCAGCATGCATATGAATCAGCCTGTATAGCTGCCGATGTATGGGAAAATGCTTCGCAGGGAGGTGAAGGTATGTCATTATATGAAAATATGTCTCGTTCACATTCACCTAATCAAAACCAAGAAGTACCAGTGAATGAAATAGGAGTGCCGGTATCTAAGCCTCCTGATGTGAGACCTAAATTACCAGCATCAGATTTGTTATCACAATCTCGAGTCAGAATGGAAAATCCTGTACTAAATGTTAGAAGACCTGCTTCTACTGATAATGTGCGAGATGCTGTGAATGTGAATATTCCTGATCAGTATGAATCATTGAACCGACCTACGTACACAGAAGCACACATCCCACAACAAAGAAACACGTATGATCAATCGTCACCGAATGTGGAAAGTTTATTGGGCAATATGGCATCTATGTTGCAAGACGGAATTGATAGACCTCGACCTGAGTTATTGCATTTTAGTGGAATAGAGACTGAATATGTCCGGTTTATCACTAACTTCAACCTAAATATTGATAGAAGAGTACATGATACAAGTACAAAGTTGTCCTATTTGGTACAATACTGCGAAGGTGATGCGAGGGAACTGATTATGCACTGTACAATGTTGCCACCCGATGAAGGTTATAAAGAGGCATGCGATTTGCTCAGAAAGACGCACGGTCGACCAATGCTTGTGGCTAGAAAATATTCAGAAAAGTTGACTAAAGGACCATGGTTGAAACATGGAGATAACGAAGGTTTGTTACGTCTTTCTCAAACGTTAGAAGAATGTTTAGTCACTTTGACACATTTGAAATATTTTGGGGATTTGGATAATTTTGATACTATTTTGTCCATAGTATTACGACTTCCTCTCAAGTTGCAGAACAACTGGGAAGAATCAGTGGCAGAATTAGATGGACAAGATAGAGAAGTGAGATTTAAAGATCTTGTTCGATTTATGAAGAAAAAGGCTGCGGCTGCAAATACGCCCTATGGAAAAGCCTTGAGAGCTCGAAGGGCGCAAGAACAGCAATATCGTTTACGATTGCAATCATCGAATAGGCGAAAGATTCACGCTCATTCTACTGCTGTGAATTCAGCTGTTGACAGCAGTGTTACCAGTGCAAAACATATTGAAAAGGGAAGAGATGTCTGTCTTGACTGTTTGAAGACGTCACACAAACTTGTTGACTGTTACAAATTCCTGCAGAAGTCACACGGTGACCGGTTGAAGATTGTTAGAAAGGCAAGATTGTGCGATAATTGTTTTGTATATGGTCATATGTCGAGAAATTGTCGTAAACCACCTGCTTGTACTGTTGACGGGTGTAGGTTGAAACATAATACTTTATTGCACAGAAGAGAACAAGAGACATGTACCCAGACAGAAAATGCTGCTGGTATGCATGAGTCAAAAGTTGAAGCATATGCGACTTCAAAACGCTCAGCAGGATGTTTTTTGAATATTGTACCTGTCAAGATCTGTGCCAACAGAAGAGAAATAGAAACGTATGCATTTCTAGATGAAGGCTCCACTGCTTGCTTATGCGATGAGCGACTTCTTGATCTATTGAAGTTGAGAGGCAAGAAAACGCAGTTTTCGTTGACAACTGTGAATGCCGGTACCAACATCACAGATGGTTATGCGGTTGATTTTACTGTAAAATCACTTGATGGTAGAGAAAGTGTTGATTTATCTCATGTGCTAACTGTTGATAGACTGCCTTGCCTGTTAAAGCTAATGAAGCACAATTTGATGTACAAAGTTATGCACATTTGAAGGGATTGAAGATTCCTACTCTGCCGTGTAAAGACGTGATGTTGATGATTGGGGTAAATGTCCCTAAAGTGTTTTGGACAATGGATGAGAGACGAGGGAAACAAAATGAACCCTCGCGAAGAAATCCATTTTAGGATTCATTGGTTGGACCAGCTTATCTCACGAGAGAACAGTGATGTTCACATTCATTGCGTTCAAGTGCAAGAGGAACCTTGCTGAGTCAGCAAATCAAAATGTTTGTGGGAAAGTGATTTTAAAGACGCTTCACTGTCGCCTATTCCATCAATGTCTAAGGAAGACAAATACGCATTGCAATTGATGGAAGATTCAGTTGAGATCGTGGACGGGACATTATCAGTTACCATTGCATGGAAGCCAGATGTCCTGATTTGCAGACAATCGAAGTGTTGCGATGAAACGCTTAAAGTACATTGAACGAAAATTGAAGAGTGATCCTGTTTTGAAAAAGAAGTACTGTGATACTATGGAGAAATATATTAGTTCTTGGATATTGCAAAACGTATCCCGAATGAATATAAGTTGGCCGTAAAGGTGCAGTTTGGTACTTGCCTCATCAACCCTGTGTTTTCTGAACAAAAGCCAGGCAAGGTACGCGTTGTCTTTGACGCTGCATCACGTTGTATGAATACTTCCTTGAATGACCAACTATTGAGAGGCCCGGATTCGGCAAATTCTCTACTTGGAACACTTCTCCGCTTTAGACAACATGAAATAGCTATTGTGGCTGACATCGAAGCAATGTTCCATCAGGTGAAAGTGCACCCGAAGGATTGGAATGTATTGCGATTTATGTGGTGGCCTGGAGGTGATTTGTCACAGGATCCATCAGAATATTTTATGGTCAGGCACATATTTGGTAGCGTCTCATCTCCATTTTGTGCTAATTGGAGTTGAAGAAGACAGCTCAAGATCATCAAGATGAATTTGACGAAAAAAAGGAGTTGAGCGAAATTTTTATGTTGATGATTACCTGAATGGCTCATCTACTGTAAACCAGGGAATTCATATTGTTCGAGAAACGAATAAATTGCTGGAGAAAAAAGGATTTCATCTAGCAAAGTGGAAAAGTTCCAATCCTGAAGTTCTGTCTGAGATTCCTGCTAAAGACAGAGCAGACTCTGCGTCAAGTGTAAATTTAGAACCTGAAAAGATCGATCGAGTACTCGGAATAAAGTGGAATATCCAAGAAGATTGTTTTGGATTTGATGTTAATGTGAAATCAAAACCCGCAACAAAACGAGGGATTTTGTCTGTACTCAGTTCGATATTTGACCCGATGGGAATAGTGGCACCTGTAATACTTAAAGCAAGGATATTGATGCAGCAGTTATGTCGAAATAATTATGGATGGGACGATGAAATATCGAATAGTGAAAATTTTATTGTGGAACAGATGGCTCGAAGATATTCCTGGACTTGAGAATATTTCATGCAAAGATGTTTTGCGCCTTCTGGTTTTGGCAATATTGTGACTCGTCAAATACACCATTTTGCAGATGGCTCTGCAGTTGCCTATGGAACTGTATCGTATTTGCGACTAATCAATGAAGATGGGAAGATTCATGTTGCGTTTCTTTTAGGAAAAGCTCGACTTGCACCCATCAAAACTGTTTCAATACCACGGCTGGAGTTGACTGCTGCCGCTCTTGCAGTCAAATTAGATTTATTCCTGAGACGTGAATTAGACTTCGAAGAAATAGAGTCGATGTTTTGGACAGACTCAACTTCCGTGCTTTTGAGTATTAATACATCACGAAGATTTCCAACATTTGTGGCAAATCGACTTGCAAAGATTGAAGAGGGATCGAATGCTTTGCAGTGGAGATATGTACCTACAGATTTGAATCCGGCAGACGATGCATCCAGAGGGTTGTCGGTACAATCGTTGATGGATGAACGATGGCTGAAGGGACCATCATTTCTCCAAGAGCAAGAGGAACATTGGCCTAAACCGCCAGTACAGTTACCTGAGCTTCCTGATGAATTTGTAAGATGCAAGCCACGAGTTGTTGCGAATTATGTTTCTGAGTTTGCTTTGAAGCCAATGGATAAATTCATTTCATATTTCTCAACATGGTATAAATTGAAAAAGGCAAGTGCATGGATGATTCGATTCAAAGAATACCTTCATAAGAAGAAGAAGAATTATAAGTGCAATGAGAAACTTGAAGTTGAAGAATTGCGAGTTGCTGGAGACGACATTTTGAAATACATACAGAGACAAGAATTTGGCGAAGTTATTGATGCCTTGCTGAACGACAATCATAGAAGTACATCTGGGAAACAAGTACTGAAGAGATTGAAGATTGCAAATATTCTGCATAAACTCAATCCGATTGTGAAAGATGGCTTCATCAGAGTTGGTGGGAGATTGAGAAATGCACCGGTTGATTTCGATGTTAAACATCCGATTATACTTCCACATAAACATCATGTAACTGAGAAGATTATAAGAGAACATCATGTATCTACACATCATTCTGGTATGGGGAGTACATGGACTTCTCTAAGACAACGATTTTGGATCGTTAAAGGAGGCGCTATGGTGAAATATGTTATCAGAAAATGCATGTTTCGTCGAAGAAGAAGTTCACCTGTGAGTAAACAGATTATGGCAGATCTTCCGAAAGAAAGAGTCACACCAGGTGAAAAACCATTTACCTATGTTGGAGTGGATTACTTCGGACACTTTCTTGTAAAGCAAGGACGAAGTACTGTCAAGAGTTGGGGCTGTATATTTACATGCATGACAACTCGTGCCGTACACTTGGAAGTTGCATACTCGATGGATGCAGATTCATTCATAAATGCGTTGAGAAGATTTATTTCACGTAGAAGTAGACCACTCAAGTTCATCTGTGACAACGGTAGTAACTTCGTTGCAGCAAATAAAATCCTACGTAAAGGGATAGAAGTTTGGAATTCAAGCAAAGTTGGACAATTTTTGCGTCAGGAGAATATTAAATTTCATTTCAATCCACCTACTGCTTCTAATTTTGGAGAATGTTACGAAAGATTAATTCGGTCAGTTCGAAAGATTTTGGTTGCTCTCTTACACGATCAGTTGGTGTCAGATGAAGCTTTGGCTACTATTTTTTGTGAAGTGGAATCACAGTTGAATTCCAGACCCATCACTCCAATAAGTTTCGATCCGAAAGATGATGAGCCACTCACTCCAAATCACTTGCTGTTACTGAATCCTACAAGTAATTTACCTCCTGGCATATTCGACAAAAAGGACTGTTACACTCGACGAAGATGGCGACAAATTCAGTATTTAGCTGAATCAGTTTTGGATCAGATGGACCAAAGAATACTTACCCACACTTCAGACACGACAGAAATGGACCTCTAAAGAACGTAATATGGAAGTGGGTGATATTGTGCTACTTGTAGACAATACTATATCCAGGGGGAAGTGTCAGACTGGACGTGTTATGGAAACTACACCTGATAAACTTGGAGCTGTGCGTCAAGTTACTGTGAAGACATCCAGGGGTTTATTGAGAAGGCCAATTGCAAAGTTGTGCTTGATTCATAGAGTTAATGAGTAAAATGTTTTCAAGTGTGTGATATCCTCGATGTAAGAAATTTGTGAGTAAGATGTTTTCACTGGTTTCCAACATCTGGCTGGGGGAATGTTACATCGAGAATCGCATTCACTTGATATTTGTATTGACTTAAACATTGCGTCTGTTTAACTTGTGTAGTAATTTATTTGTTATTGTTGACGCCGTAATTTCCCTTGATTGACAGTGTGCTTCTACACACTTTGTTACGAAACAATTGAGAGAGTCTTCGTGGCAATTGCTTGCCCAGACATGTCTCGCTTAGACATGGATAGTTTCGGTAATTTGCTTTAAATAGCGCTTTACTTTTGCAGGGAATGGCGCTCGTTTCGTTGTAATTTGTAAATAAGTTAAACTTGTTCAGCGACCTTGGCTTTCTGTTTTGACTGTAGGACGATTAAATAATGTAGATTATGGCTGCCCACATAGACCTAGTTAAGGATATTTTATGAGCATTAAATGGCCTTTTGTGATTGGTTTTACAGTTATAGTTTATTTAATTGATTTGTTCGGATTTCATTGACGAATGATTTCATGTTCAACTTATGATAATTTAAGCCTGGAATAGCAGACAAATTCGGTATGTTATAATTTGTAACTCTTTCTGATTTGAAGGCTGCAAGTTATTCAATAGTAATATGGTTCGACTTAATAATTAACTATGTTTGATAATTGTGTTCATAAATTTGAGTAGGCTTTCTAAAGGCCGAATTGTGTATGATTATTTATTTATTGCAAGTAATTTGTATTGATTTGTTTTTACGTTTGTATTAAGATAACCGTGTCAACTGTATACTTCGAGTTGTGTGATTTTCTGGATTGAGGATACAAACTTGGGGCTTGAAAGACCGCGTTATTGAACTGTTAATAAATATCTAGTGTGCAGTCGGTGTTAAATACATTTCAATAAGCTGAGGAACTTCTGTTGGCTCATTGTCAATCATAAGAAGTTTATGTAATTGTTTGGAACATTCAGCTGGTCTGCTCAAGAAATAAGAACTTGAAGCTTTCCAAGACAGTAAGTAAGATTCTTTCGATGCATGGGTGCAGAGATAGCCAACTAGTAGGTACATGACGCAGAATTTCATGAAATTCCGTCTCTACAAATATATGAAAGTCTATAAGAGTTTGTCGTCTTTTTGCCGACATTGACACATGACTGTAAATTTTCAAGACAATATTTTCAATGTCAACATTCAAATTTCCTAAAGCAAATTTCAATGTATTGTGTACAATGTGTGCACTGCAGTTAGGCGTGATAATAATATCATTTAGTGTGCGAACATTAGTATGAAAAGAATGTTTTTCTCCAAAGTTGCAATTTGCGTTATCTGCACTTAAACAAGAAAAACTCTTTTCCAATCAAGTTGTAAATTGTTCATAGTGTTTTTCAAACAAGTGAACATTCCATCCGCAGTTTCATCTGCATTCTCGAATAAATCAATAATATGCTATTTTCCAAGCTAAAATAAATATTTATTTGGCCAAAGCGAAATTAAAAAGAATAATTGAAAGCTTGAAATAACATAAACGGAGGCGATTTAAGAACGGAACAATATCAAACACAGTACTGTAACTATCGGGCAAAACGATGTTGGAAAACATAAAGGACAATTATCATCTTAAAAAGGACAAGGACAAAAATCTCAAATAAAGGATTGTCCTTTGAAATAAAGGACGGTTGGCAAGCCTACCCTCTGCACTCAGAATCAACTTTTCTACGTGTTTTTGCCATTTGTCTAATTATAATTAAATTGTGGCAGCGTGATCGAAACAGGAAGTGAAAAATCAGTGTCCCCAGCAGTGATTGCGAAGCAGCAAAAGGCGACAAATGTGTATTTGCAAATTTACGCACTCAATTTTTGTATTATCAAGCCATGAGCCATATATAACAGATTTCTTTCGCGGACCCTCTGAATGTGCTACACGGTCACGGACCCTACTTTGGGGAACCACTGGTTTAGACTGAAAACAATCTCAGCAAATGGGTAAGTAACTAGAGCCTTCGCGTTATATCCGGCGTCAAGAAAGTTAGCATTTGATTCATGTAAAGAGGTGGTCGACAAAATGCGGCTCTCGAACAATTTTTGTGGCCCTCGACACCACTTTTAATCAATTTCTCATCAATTTATTCTTATCTGCACATGGCTAGATGTTGTACGTCTTTTTTAGGAAGTTAGCTGGAGCGAAACACATGTCAGTTGTATGTAGTTGAAACAGAAAGAGCAGTTGGGAATTAATGTGGGTAGCGCCCTTCTATGTGCATATTTGACCCAGTAGTACTTACAGTTTGCCGACCACTGATGTAAAGTGTTTCATGTTAACTTAGTTTGACTGGCGATGTAATAGGTAGATATGACATTCAAGTTGTATTGCTATAAGTTGGGCATGATTTTCTCAAATGAGTTAAGCTGTTGCGCGAGAGGATTGCTGGACTCCTGTAAGCCGTGTAAGGTGGTTCACATAACCGCCCGTCTGTTACAGATTCCTCCACCATCAAGTCCATGCATATGGAAACAAATGAACTGGCTAACTAACCCCATACCCGTCATGGACTGGTAACCAACCGGATGAGATGCAATGGTTAACCATATGATTTGAGCTATATTATCGGCTTCCTCTCCTCAGGGATAAATATGTAAATCCTATCCTATTGCAAGGGAATTCGATACAAAAAAGAACCAGTACAGGAAAGAACAAGAAATTTTGAATTCCATCACTGCTGTATTCCAGGTCGTACCAACCAGCATTGGATAGCTGGGCATGTTGGATGAATCCTATTCTTCACCTCCCCGACTAATAATTATGAAATAGGTTGGCATAAATTATTTATTAATCAAGAGGGTAAGATTCACCCAAAATTTCACAGATGAGCGAAGTCGTAAAAATATTGAAAATGACAAAAATAACCATCCATATCTTTACCATCTATAAAGAAAAAGAGACATATGAATGTTCGAAGGAAACCATATGCCATACAAATGCTCCACAATTCTCTGTGGGGAAAATAGCAACTACACTCAATAAGGACTCAAATCAATTACACTCAAAAAGATTTGAATCGTCTGAATATTTCATTATTTTCTACCTCTTGAAGTCACATTTACTGTATGAAAAATGGTACAAAGCAGACTTTTTCAATTGCTACAAAATTGTTCCCCAGTTGCAGTCACATTACTTAGTTTATCGTCATCGAAGATAGTCGGAGACAGAAGCAAAAGCACAAGTTCCTATTTGACTCTGTGACATTCTCTTTATACATTGTTGTGCGTGTGATATGGCCATGAGCAATGGTGGAGTCTTTGGCAAATTTTGAGACTCTGAAAGGCAAAAGTTTTCATGAAGCATTTGAAGATAAACTCGGACATCAATACTGTGTAGAGCAGGGGTGGACAAGGTTTTTGAACCACGGACCAAAAATTTGCTCATCTAGACTGGCATCCAATGCAAGTGTGACTTCACAAAAGTTAAATTTTATGAACAATATTTACAGTGTTACAAGAGCAAAAGTGGAAAACAATAAGCCTCGTGTCAAAACTAAATTTAATCGCAATCTCAACAAATTCCTTTTTTTAGCTAAAACATCAGAATTTGGATTTGGTTTGGTTGTAGTAACATCAGGCGGGCCAGATCGAATTACCTAACGGGCCGTAGTTTTCCCATGTCAGGTGTAGAGCATCAGGAGAAGCATTAAATAAAACTTACCTAATATGGCGCTGTTAAGTGCTGCACAAACAGGTTCTCGTTGTATTGGATCCAACTGATGACCAACCGGGCTGTTCCAGGGATCAGAATACGCCAGTAGACTGTAAGCATCCTTATCGAAAACAAAACAACTCAAAAACAATTATGTAGTTATAGTTATCGAACTCAACCTGTGCAAGTGACTGTGAGTGTATCATTCTACTCAAAGACACATTACTTGCCAATTAATCTAAAATATTTTTAATAAAATTTCTGAGAAAAGACAAAAGCGGTAGTACATACAACCTATGCAAAATCACATACAGCTAGCAATCATGTCAAAAAAATGGTTTGAAAATTCTTGCAAAATTTCAATTTTTCTAAAGTGTGTCAATTTTTAGTTGGAAAAATTAATATGGCTTTTGCTTCATTTTAGACTTCAAGTGCATAGGGTGCATGAGTTCAGCACATGAGTTTTACAGGTTTCTTTTGATTAGTTACTTTTCCTTGATAATTGAATTCAAACAAATAACAACTGAAGTTCAAAGTCTAACAGGGACGAATAGGTAGAACCAAGTATATGATAGTACCTTTTCCATCCTACAAACTGGATATCCATGAAAGATTTGGATATTTTTTTGCAATATTGAAATATAATAAATTGCATGGAAAAATCATTTCTGTTGTTAGTACCTATGTTAACTACGCAATGCTATCTATGATTCCCAAAAATCGTTGTGTTCTCACTGTTTTAAAATTCATATTTGTGGTTAATTAATTTCATCTTTTGAAATTATCCATATTCATAGTAAGGAGTAGCAATAGCATACCTCTAGCATTCTTTTATTTTTTATACTTGGTCCATGTTCTTTTTTAATATCACTGGAGAGTTGCAGAAGTTGCTTACCAAATGACAACATTTGAAGTATAGCAGCCGAATTTCCACCGCATAATTTTCTGTGGTAACCTGTGGACATATGTCAACATTAAGTTGTGACATACAAAGCTCTGGTCAAAATTTTAGGAAATACAATCTGAAGATAATAGGATTTCTATATTCAAACAGTGTTGAGGGATTTTGACATGACCTGCAGATCACAGATCCTGATGGTTTTCTGGATCTGGCAATTTAACTTGTTCTGATGTATGAACTTAATTGTAAGAGGATGCCATAATTGCCACCCTGCAATTCCATCAGCTTACTTGAATACAATCAACCTTCACACAATTAATTTAAAAAATTGTTTTGGATGAATTAAAGATTCGATGACCAAGGCTGCAGTGTCAAAGTCAGGTATGATGAAGACCAAGCTGAAACTCCCCAAGTCAATATAGACTTCTAATAGGAGTCAGAATCCCAAAATTTTCAAACATTTCTTTTCTGGAGCTGGAGTCAAAAATTCATTTTATTTGGTTAGAGTCGGAAATTTTGGTAACCTGAATTCAGGAGTCTTATTTATAATGAATCCAATGACTTTTCCCATGAACCCACAGTATTGGCATATACGAACATGCACCTAACACTTCAATCAATATGGTAATTGTGGATAATTCGACATAGAAGAGTTAAATTTTAACACTGAGAAATGAGCCAGAAGAATCTGAAGAATGAGCTATTTTGATGAAGTATTGATGATTAAAATAAATATCCCTCGAGTTTATACCTCCTTCACTCGTGTCCATTGCACCGTTTTCTGTTTTTGAAGCATGTAAATCCTCACGAGATGAAGAAACACCATTTATAAGTCGAGCGTCACCATTGACTGCATGTGGTAGATCTTGATTGGATATATTTGTTGATCCATTACTAATTGCTAACAGAGTTTGATCTTCAATATCTGTATCCATATCACTATCACTGTCAATACTAAAATATTCAATCATGAGTAACTAACATTAGTTTTTGGACCATAATAATATAAAAGTTTTTTCCCCCTATTTCAGGGTTGTGCAATCTCCGGCCAGTGGGCCATCAAGGAAAAATTATGCAGCCCGCGGAGAAGTGCCAATCATGACAGGTGTGCGGCCCGCGGAACAAGTTTTGAATTTGTTCAATCTGGTACATGCTAGTAATTCCAATTCTTTTGCGTTGCAAAGCCTATACCAGAGTCTAACTTATTATCTATGACGCTTGTGCGAAGCGAACAAAGCATTTCATAAGATCAAATGGCAAAATTTTTGTGAACGCAACTATCAGAAAGCCTTTGTTTAAATAAAGGTCGACCTGCGGTTTCACTCAGATATCTGTATCTGGCCCTCCCGTATTAAAGCTTGCACAGTGCACACCCCTGCCCTATTTCATAACTTGTTATGAACTACGCAAAGCTGAGGAATGCTTAAAGTTGCAGCAGTATGTAGTAAAGGGTAATTCAAATCAATCAACCAATAATCTTGTGTGCTTTGTAATGACCTCAATTGCAACATGATTCCTTGGGATAAAGCAGACTAGCAGACTAAACTCATGTCTGATATGTAATCTTGGTAGGTTTCCCCTTTTTCACTCATAAGATATATGGAAAAAGCCAATCAAGCGTGGCAGAGGAAGTGTTAAATTAATGAATTATGATTCAATACTAAGTCACAGGCAGATTTATTTTCCAAATTTTGGTGATAACAAGGGTAGCATACATAATGAAAGATTAAAATTGTATTTTATGAGTTAGTTTTTGCTCTAACAAATTTTGAATCAACTTCCATTACCCTGGGTTGACTACACATAAGTTGAAATGCCACAATAATTCACAATAATTCACTTATTCCCAATCATACCTGCTGTCATTACTATTTGATGACTTGGGCATCGAAAAACTAGTTGTATTTTGAGAAAGACTAGAATTGGTTGCCACAGTATTATTCCTGTCACTATCTCCGTGTGGTTGAGTGGGAGGGGGGTGCATTTTGTGAGGTATGTGTGGATGGTGGTCTGCAATATGTGATGACTGTCTGTCTGTAGGTTGAGAAACTCCATTGTGACTTGATGTAGGGCTATTTGAAGAACTCTGAAAAAAGATTGAATAAGCATTACAAGTGCATCACTAACCAAGGTCAATGTAAACCACATTTTTCAATAATCGAAATCTGATAAGGAATATTTGTCAAAACGATTTACAACCTGATTCTGATTACATATCTTTTTCAAATTTGAGAATTTCAACTACACATCCTTATCATTAACCAATCATGTTCAAGTTTAAATAGAAATTGGAATGGAAATAGGAATATAATTTACATATTACAGATGATGGTTGATGAAATTCATTCCTTCTATCTATGATGTTACAATCTAATATCAGCCATGGCAAATGCTGATGAAGATAATAACTCAGAGCATTCCCCAGTTGCGTGAAGATGTACTTTGATTCCTGTTCTCAAACCCAACTAAGTTTTTTTTATTTTAAATCACAAGAATATCTTTTAAATCGTAGTAGATGGTAAAATTGATAATTATCAAGATATATTGTAATTTGCAGGAAAACCTCATACCCTGTGCCAAGAAGGTTTGGGACTCATTGCAGGACTTGATTTTCCACCAGATAGACTACTGTGTCGACTCATACTTCTCACTTCACATTCTGTTTCGTTGAGCATTTCGATGAATTGACGTACCTGGAATAAGGGAAACGATATTTCATGAGGTTTTCACACCTTCATTAAGACAAGTGACTAAACAGGCTGAATAACAAAACATCCCAAATACTAAGTTTCTGGTGCTCCAGAAGTACATGGTATGTGTACCAATATGGAGGTGACTAATTTTTTTCGCCTACTTTACATCAAGTTATGTAAAGGGACGAAAGCCTATGCGCAGGGCAGGGGGTATATATTCATTTGTCTAACACAAACAGTCCCCGAACTCGTAATAGAACTAAAATAAGGAAAACCGGAATATATTTATCGCCTATCCTTAACCTGGTACACACACCACGGGAGTACCAAATTTATAATATACGATGACTTCATCAACTAATGTTAATAAAAATGATGTCTAAATAAGTTATATCAAACACCTCCATTTACGTTCTGTATCATATCACTTACTTTCAACATAAATAAAAGATTCAGATTCTTTTCCAATAGACCAGGAAATAATTGATGAGTCACCTCAATTGCTTCAGCCATGTGTCCAGCTAAAACTAGCTTTTGAATTTCTGAAAATGGTTCAATTTACATTTGGATACTAAAAACAGTTTTCAGTGAATACATTATATTACAGATGCTACTTCAGGTATATTTTTTTTTGAATTAAATGTCCTTTTGTATGGCTAAAGTTAGCATTGATAAGCCAATACATATACAAAATATTATGTTTAGTGGTCGTAACAGAATGAAGGTATGTAATTTTGTAAGTATGTAAGTTAGTATAGATGTGAAATGTAGTATCTTTCATACAATATACAGTTTCATTTTAAAAATGTCACAGCTTGGAAATTGAGATAACATACACAAGGATGAGAGTAGGCACCAATCTGGTGAAACAAACAAAACGGTTCCAGGAAAATCAACAATGATAATATTACTAAAACAGGCATCACATATAATGGTCATAAGGTAATAATGAAATATGAAACATACTTTGTCTATTTCTTATTGACGTGAGATCCTCATTATATTCTCCCCATCCTAGATTAACACTTTGACCAAAAGCTTCTGCAGTAGCTGCATATCCATGATGGATGAGGTAGGTAGATACAAGTCTAACAAATATGATGCCAACTCTCAGAGTAGAATTGTATTTCAATGACAAATAAGTGGCTCACTTAGCTAGTAGCTACTATTGTATAGCAGAATGCATTTATGTGAACAGTTTATCAAAAATTTATTAAAGTCATTTTAAAAAGCAACAGGGAAAGAATGAACTTACATAAATCAATGTAGGTCTATATGTGAAAAGTAGGCTTATTTGGAAATTTATGATTTCTCTTTCAAATATTCTCAATGAATTTATTTTTCCATAAGCCAATAATATATATAGAATTTCACCCAAGATACTTTGACATAAGGTCTTTTCTATACAAAGTATACTTATTCCTATGAACGGTTACTCTGTATTAGTATTTTATTAGTAACAGTTACAGAATAATTTTTGTGGCATGTATATATATTTTAAAAAACTAATGTCAACTTTGGGATATCTGTATACATGATTCAAGAAGCAACAAAACCAACAAATTTGTAAATTCCTCTTACTTGTGTAAGGTTGTTTGAAACTGACCAGTGTCATCTGGAACTTCTAATCTTTCAATAGATAAACGAGTTTTTATTCGCCAATATTCAGTATAATCTTCTATATCAAATATGAAAGGGTGTTGTCCGAAGTTAGCGCAGACTTCTTCACCGGGAGTTTGTAGACCAACCATGGGGTAGAGCGGAATATTCTATGTCATGTGATGGAAAAAAATGTCAAAACTTCAAAGTCGGTTTTACAGCTACTGAATGTAAAACTGCTCATGGTAAATTACATTTCTGCTATACCAAAGTTCAAAACATTGCTCAATATTACAATATTATTAACTGAGAACGCTATATCAAAACTGTTAGGAGCATGAGGTGTCATTTGTCACATACAATGAACTGATGTTGTCAGTATTACATATCAACTATTTATCACCTAATAATATTGAATGTAGGTCATGACACTGAAATGTTTATAAAGCCCTACATATTTATGAACAGAGCTATCTCATATCAACCTGTTATCTTTGTAAATTCTATTAACTCAGTGTAGGAGAATATATTAATATGGTTTGGCCACAAAATTTATTCCTCATCTCACCGGCAAATCTTTAAAAGCAATTCCGATGTTGACACCATTTTTAGTGTAAAAACAGGAATTCTCAACTAAATTAACGCAGCAACCAACAACATCACCAGTTGTAAATGTGGGACCATATGGATGACCAGTACCAGATGAACAAAATGAATGTCCATCATCTCCATGGTAACCATAAGATTGCTTGTCCCATCCTAAAATAGAACCACATAAAAAAAATTTATGATCGTTATTAAATTAGGGGCATGGTTTAATGACCTTCAAATAAAAATATTCTTCAGAAATGTGAACAACCATTTTTACTTGGCCAATGAAAATCATTTTACCTGGTAGACGATTCAGATTAACACCCTGAGCAGACAATCCAATACCCATATATCTGAAATGAGGATAATATGGTCAGTACATATCAAGAGTATCACACAAAAGTCATCTAACTAAGGGAGACATACACAGGATACAGACTTGGAAATCTATAGAGGGTTTACAATTCACAAGCATGTAGAAATTTAATAAATAAAATCAAAGTTTACATGAATCAAATATTACTTGATAGTTACATTATGATTTTGATCCTATTTCCTTACATTTTCTGCCATGTTAAGAGTCAATTGTAAAACTAGATGTAATATGGGTACGAATTATGAAATCAAACGCCTCAAATATATATTGATCAATATCCTGGAACTTAAGCTTCCAGGTGGCTAAATTAAGATTGAAAATAAAAGGCTAGCAATATTCGTTAATCACTTGGTTTATTTCATTTTATTATTTACTATGTTATGGGAGAAATAACTGTTCTGATATTTTCTGTAAATCAAACAGAAATAAAGTACACACCCATCTCGTCCTTTATTCACAATTTTAGCTTCAAAATAATAAATTCCACAAGAAGCAGGTATAGGATGATCTGATCGAACTGATGCCGCATCTCTGTGTGTTTTCCCTTGTCCTGTCAATAACAAAGCAGTAGAATTTGTATTTTTTAGTATTCTAACCATCCATAATGTATATATTAAGAAATACAGACACAGGGTATAAGCAGATAGTACAAAGCACACATATTACACCGGTCTTACTACTTACTGAATACAGCGCAAAACACCGCAAAGAGTGCGAAACAGCGCAAAATAGCGCGAAACAGCGCAAAACAGAGGGAAACAGCGCAAAATAGTGGGGAAACAGCGCGAAAGAGCGCAAAACAGAGGGAAACAGTGTGAAGCAGAAAAAAGTTTTGCAATGAGTTCGGGGCACCTTGTTTTGAGTTGGATTACCACGGCAGCAAATTAAAAACACAAACCAACGTATGTAGCCAGTAATGCTGTAATGGCAGGTCTGCCCCTGCTGGTGACACATTTTGGGTACCATAATTTAGAACATTTTCCATGTGGATATGGTTGGCTTTAGGGTTAGGGTTAGGTAAAAAGGGACCTCCAGAAGTATGTGCACCAAGATGGCGCACAACCTGAAAATAGTATGTGTGTGTGTAGCGGATTCAGGTTGTGCGACATATTGCTGCACATACTTCTGGATCACCAAAAAGGTAGATAAAATTTCGCATGATGACCTATAATCCGGTACATAACCTTGTAAATATACCGGAAATAGCGCCATAAAACCATGGCGAGAGGCACCATGGTTCTTTCGTGGCAGGAGGTGGTAATGACTGCGTCTCCTGTTTTGCGCTGTTTCCCTCTGTTTTGCGCTGGTTTCCTTCTGTTTCGCGCTGTTTTCCTCTGTTTCGCGCTGTTTCGCACTGTTTAGCGCTCTTTGCGGTGTTTCGCGCTGTATTCAGTAAGTAGTAAGACACATTACATTAATATATTAACTCACCTTTGTAATGTACTTCTAGATCATCTTGTGAGAGTTTAATTAGAGAAAACTTATCTCTTGAGCTCCATTTTGTTGGAAATGGCGTTTCACTTGCATTCACAGTTGGATATAATTTTTTGAGTCGATTTTTGAATTCAGTTTCATCATATGAAACCAAAGAGAAATCCATAATGGTTGATATCCAAGAACAAATAATTAAATTCTGATAACACTTGAATAGCCTCCACAAGTTTTGTTTTAATAAAAATTATTTTATAATACTATGATATGCTGATTAAATATTAAAAGTAAAGAACAATATGATATAAACAACAGAGATCAGCATAATGAGAGAGTAATGACAGCAATAACTGTGCGACTTTCCTTTTGTTTATTCAGTTATTTACATGTTTATAAAGTCATCCATGTAAAAAAGGGCAACACCGCAACAGGTCAGCTAGGTGAAATAGGATACAGGGATAACTAGGCCTATATATCCAGTAATATTATTATTATGGTAAAGTTCATATATCACTTTATGTTTACATTTGATATTTCTCATTTTGTTTAGTACCAAATTTCAAAATCTAAAATTGTGATTACGGGATTTCCAGCTTATTACCGTATTCAGGTATTATGTCAATATCTGAAAAGTGATCAAACAGTTTAAAATATATAAAGTAAAAAATGGAAAATCCCTGCCAGCTCAAGACAGTGGAAAAGTTTTAACGTCAGTATTTAAAGCATTTGTCTGTTGTCCTATCATAATGCAGCAGTCCTAAACTGCTGTTATATTTATCATAGGTGCATGTTCTGATGTTGCACATCTGTGTCTTAGACCAGTAGACCAGTACTGCAGTAAGGTCTTGAACATGTATCCCATCTCTGTTTACCGTTTAATCATTATGCAGATATCAGGATATTGTTACATTTTTAGGGCAAATAAACATACATACATACATTCGATAACGACAAGATAGCAAAATTTGCACATAAAAGAGGGAAAGCCATGATCTTAAAGTCCATATAATATTGAAGGGATTCCGGGATTGCTGCCATGGCAGCATGGGTGAAAGAGTAGGCTAGGCTATTTGCTGATTTTTCAAAAACCATTCTACATTGTCTGATTGCTGGATTGTGAGATCAAATAACAACCAACTTGAGACAAAAGACACGATACAGCAATAGTGCCATACAACCATACAAATAAAAATGACTAATTTATTAAAATAAGGTAATTTAAATGAAGAAATTTAAGTTTTAAGGAAAATTGAAACTTTTTATTTCATCGTCAAAGCATCTGTTCCTACCTTAAAATCAAACGGCAAAAACGACAGTCTAAACAACTGAAACAAAGCAAACCAAGACCGGTTCCGTAACATAAGGCAGTGAGGGATCCATTTGCTGTTCCTCTTAGTCTACATGACATAGACTCATTTTATATTAAACTTAGCGGTATCAATTTAATCATACCACAATGTACGGTACTTTTATACTTGTACACTTTTTTGTTAGGCTTTTCTTTCTTTGTTCTTTAAATAACTCTCTCATAAACTTTGACACAGTACAACCTCTTCTCGACCTCTGACCCCAGAATATTTGGACACGAGATGACCTATGGATCGAAACTGACATACAAAACATACCAGTACGTACGGTACCTACCGGTAGAATAGGATAGGATTTTATATATTTATCCCGGGGAGAGGAGAGTCGATAACACGGCTTAACTATATGGCGAACCACGCCTCTCGTCCGGGTTACCGGTACCGGTATGTTTTCGGAAGCATGGACTTGATGGTAGAGGAAGCTGTAACCGACCAACGGTTACGTGAACCACTCCACGGCGGTGAGGAGTCCAGCAATCCTCTCGCACATAACCATGCCTGCATAAGATTCAAACCTGCGAACTCACGCAGAGTAATCAGTGGTTCGGTGACGAGCATATTTAAACGCTAAGGCTTAGCAGTACCGTGAGTTTCGAACCTGCGAGCCCACGCAGAGTAATCAGAGGTGCGGTGACGAGCGTATTTAAACGCTAACGCTCAGCACGATGAGCCACACCGCCACGCCAACGGTAACCGCCAACCAGTAACTATGTACAAATGGTTTTGCTATTATCTTGTTGCCGTCAATAGATTTCTTGTTATGAAAAATCGCTTATCTCTACAGCAGCGTTTCCCAAACTGTTTTCCCCGGAACACTAGTGTTCCGCGAGCGTCTTCGAAGTGTTCCGTGGAGAAGGAATCAAAAATACGTCCAAAATGGTCGCCATGGGGATCTAAGAACGTGAATTGTCGCCCAACTGACCGTTCGATATTTGCAACTAGGGTGGGGTGCGGCATTTTCGTTAACCTTCGGCCTAGCTTTTTGACTTTTAAGTTCATCATCAAGTTTACAACAAACCTTTTGGTTTTGCTATATAGGCAAACAAGTAGATTATAGAATAAAGACAAAAGGTCAACTCTTCATCCTCCATCTCTGCCTGGTTTTACTTTGAAATTCTGAAAAAATCAGTAGATAAATAAACTGCAGGTCATCAGCTCACGAAAGTGGGGCAAATACTTCTATCTTCATTATATGTAACATTAGAGGCAAACACTACGTAATAGAAAGTAAACGACATAGAATGGTAAAATGAATGAATTGATTCATATACACAGCACTTGAATTAAGAAACAATAAAACATTTATATATAATAAATGCAATATGTAAAATATTCAATCATATTCAGGTATGTTTAACACAATGTTATTAGTTTTCGCGGCGCATTTGGCAACCTGCCACGAGAACCCATTGGGAACCGCTACATTACACCGTTTTTATTTATAAATTTGACTCTTTCATTCTTTGGTGTTCCGCGAGGCGAGATAAAAAACGTAAGTGTTCCGTGGCCGAAAAAGTTTGGGAAACGCTGCTCTACAGGACCAATTTACCTTACAACTAATTGGAAATTTTGAATAGTGATTGTATTTCTCGCTAAAACATCATTAATTTTATTTATTTCGAAAATTTCTACAAAATCTATGGCATTCGGTATTCTTTTTGTGTGTGCGATGACGTCAACTTGTGGCAATTCTGCGTACTACTTCGTTTTGACTTTCATTTTCATATATTTGATCTCTTTAATTAATCAATTCATTTTGTTACTTTGTTGCTGCCGATCGTTACGTTAGTATTTCTTTTTTTCTTTTGAAAAAAGAGCTTTAACTACTGAACCTTTGCTTTCAAATTTTCAAAGATTGCCTTTTTCGCTTGAAGGCTTTATTTTTTTATATTCATTACAAAAATTCCAGTGGCTTCTATAGCAAAGTTCTAGCTCAAGTTCTAAACTTGCTTGGGTCATTTTCTTTTCAACAAAAAACAAAAAGTTACTAAATTTATTTAAGTGAATTTATTGTGTATTTTGGTACTGAAATGTAAACGCTGGGGACGAACACGCGCCGCCTTCTCACTTTTGGGTAATATATGGGGGAATAAACGTTATGTAGGCTAAAATGATTGTTTTATATTAGTCATTAAGTTTGCGGCCTCAAAAGAATTACATGTCGTTTAGTATTTAAGCAGGTTGTTGTGTCGCAAGATTTTACAATATGTATCTTTGAAACAAGATGGCTATGCTCATACTAAGTGCATGGACACCAACGACTAACATACCATTGCATCCAAATCAACAGTATCTATACGACTATATAAAGGATAAAAAAAGGTTAAAATTAAATAATATGCAAGAATCATATTGATAACAAAATGTATTCTAATCAATTTTAATATATCTAAAACAAAATCTTCATAAATATTTTTTGTAAATTTACAATACATGAAAATATGTGAAACAAACTCAGGTTCTCCATTACATAATACACACATTTCATTCTCTGCTATTTATCCAATTTCTGGCTTTTGTTTTCAATGGCAAGATATACCAGAGTAATTTATAGTTAAAATCAGTATTTTTAATAAGTAAACGAATATCTCTCAGAGCCATGTGATTCATATGGAGCACAGAGCTATGATTGAGAGAGGCCGTGGTTCGCCATATATTTAGGCCTTCTTTTCGGCTTTCTTCTCCCCTTGGATAAATATGTAAATCCCATGTTATATCAATTAATAAATACATAAATAACCGCACTCCTCTCGGCGACTGGTTCATATTCTGTTCTGATGTTTAGTGATATTTAGTTGTCTGTGAATATTACCGAAAGACCACATAGAATCAATTTGTGGAAGTTTTAAGCCATTAGGGGTGTCGAATTCGAATAACTGACTTTTATACCAGTTTAGGGTGGCCAAGCACACTATTCAATTACCTTGCCAAAATCACTTTTGTTCACTGACTGTCTCATCTATCCATACTAGTACATTCAACGACGTCAGTGATGCGACAATGTGTCTGAAGATTTTGTCCTGTCATTTTTATGAAAAAACAATACCAAAATGCTATTTTTCGGTTATCACCGATTGTTACCTATATCAGTAAATGTGACATGGGCCTCGGTTTGGACCACCCTGGTCTATACGACTTTATATATATATATGGACATACAGGTGATGGATCATTTGAGATGAGGGCCATACTCCTGATGTGAAAGTCTTATGTACCTTCAATGGGCTACCCGATGTTCTCAGAAAGAGAAAGATATAGCGACGAGCCGACGATATTGGATTTCAATCGTAAATTGTTTGAAATATCTCCTAGCAAAGAATGTTATTTGAGATTCAGTATTTTTTCTGTTCAAATTGACCTATTCTTGATGATATTGCGGGGCTGCATAAAACTATTGAAGTGACTAGGGGTAAGTTTAGACCTTACATAGAATATATCATCAGGAAAAGCAACGAAGGACCCCATTTTCTACGACTTTTATTTATCATATAAGTGTTCCAAAAAACGAAGAAATAGAATAATTAGACAGATTTACTGAAGTAGAAACTATATTGATGCAGAAATTCGAGGATCTGAACGTTGGGAAAAGTCTCCTTTGCCTAGAATTTGTCAAAAAATAAAATGGGTGGTATTTTATTACAGTTAAAAGCTATATATTTCAAAATATTCCAACTTCGGCCAATGTTTTCTCTAAGAGCTTGCTTAGTTGCGCGGAATAGAATGCCGTTTGAGCTTTAAAAAAGGTCTGCGCGGAAAATTTGAAAAGATGGAAAAGAACACAACATTTTAAACATTTTATTACTTATGTAGTGCTCGGCAAAACGAGAGTAGGCTTACTGCACGGGGATTTTCGCCAGCTGCGCAGCTTAGAGGGAACGTTGCCTACGGCACTCTCGATATAAATATAAAAAGACTTCCAGTGCATTGTGTCTGATTAGTGATTGCTTTTATAGAGAAATTTCCGTGAATTGATATCATTGTTTGCAACTAAAGAGGTTCTGAGACTCAAAGTAGATAGATATATTGTAACTTCTGGTTACACCACGTTTATTCACAGACCTAACCAAGCATGGCTGGTCTGTAAAGCATGAATTGAGAACTTAAAAGAGAAAGTTATCAATATTGATAAAACAAACATGTCTGAACAACGCTGCTTTTAAAAGCATTTCCAAATGCAACTGCAAAATAAATCGTGGTGCGTCCAGACAGAGGCAGTAACACGTTTACTATTGGCTCATAATACTTGATCACTATTGACAGGCATGAGTTTATTACATATGGAAAAAAGAGTTTGTATAATAGGTGCAGGGGTGTCAGGCATTAGTGCGCTAAAGTCCTGCTTGGAGGAAGGCTTAGAACCAGTTTGCTATGAAAGTCAAAATCATATCGGTAAGTGTTTTGAAAGAGGTTTTATAAACGGGATAGCCTATACAACGTTTACTCGTTGTAACGTCAAGAACAATTTAAAAATTTGTTTCAGGTGGACTCTGGAATTACAAACCATGTGAAAGGGATCAAGACCAGAAGGGAGCTCGGTTGTATGAATCACTCATAACAAATGTTAGCAAAGAAGCGTCGTGCTTCAGTGATTTTCCCTACCCTCAGGTAATATTGCTTAGGTACACTGTTTATGTTTATCCTGTATTAGGTTATATAAATTATTGCCGAACTGCAATAATTTTCTTGACGCTTTCAAGCTATCAGTTATGCTTATATATTTATACCCAAATGGGAAGTCGATTTGCCACTGAGCAGTACTGTATAACACCACGAGATATATCTCAAACTAGTAGTATAGCTTGAGTTCCAACTCGGCCTTTACCGATTCCAATGAATGCCGCATATTTCTATACCTTTAATTTAGGGATAAACACTCAATTTGCAGTCACACTGTAGTAGCACCAGGTATTTTGCTGTTTGTTATGAATTTCTAATCATATTGTTGAACAGCGGTTTTTATATTTTGAAGACAAAGTTACCTTGATAGTTTGCTTAACTTTCACGTCGTTGTTACTCATTAATACTAAAGCAACTTCTCTGGCACGGTTACCATGCAATTGGTTTTAACAGAATTACGAAGTAAATGGAATCTGAAATAATTTAGATGGTGTAATATGGTTAATAAACTTGTAGTAAGCACAGTAATTTTTTTAACAGCATTACACACCTTTCTTCAACCACACCAAGCTTTTTGAATATTTAAAAAACTATGTAGCGCATTTTGATCTGGAGAAATATATTACATTCAATACAAAAGTTACAAATGTTGAAGAACAAGAATCGCAAAAATCTGGTAATATTTTTTTTATCAGAATTATGGTTTTTAATTTAGAACAATTACAATATAAATTTATATTCAATAACAGCATGAATTAGTATTCCATTTGCAAAGTGTCGATTTTCTTCTGAGGTTTCGAAGCAATGAAGGGAAATAAGAAGACGATCTTATTGGTGTTGTTAAATTGACTGATGGTACATTGTTTTACCTGGGGCGAAAAGTCATTCTGATCAATGATTGTTTACGCGTGTCTTTCAATATGAGCGAACTTCATTTTGTTCAGTAAAACAAATCCACAAAAAAGTGTGGGTTTACAACAACACTTTAACAAACTACCAATCCTTATTCTTATTTTTGCAATTTTACATTGAACTAGAAAACATATATATGCACGAAGACCAGAAAAATATAAAAAATTTCAAAAAATAACATCTCCCTTTGAAACACATTTCTTTAACTTTCACACTGATCAAATAAAACATTGAAAAAAATATACTGTTACCAGTAACAATTAATAATTGATGTAATCTGGACTATAATTTGGTCCAATTTGGTGAATGAAGTGATCAAGCCTTTACTGATTTTATAATGAATTTTTATTTATTTGCTTTTATCAACTATTTTATCGTCCGCTATGATGATTATGGAGTCAAATTAAACTTATACTTATAACTGCTGAAATTAGAAAACGATTGCTTTATTAGATAAAACGAAAACAAGAAATAGCAAAACGATCTACAGGTCCACATTTTGTCAAAATATCATGTCAAGTAGATGAATTTTCTATCGTCGTATTCAATCAAACATTCATTTGAATTTTACCTCAGCCCACACGAGAAGATGGAAAATTACTACAATGAATATGAATACTTTGTCCGAAAAAGTGTCCGAATTTGACTCGATCATTGTTTGCGTTGGAGCGAACTCGAGAGCAAAAATGCCCAATATTGATGGGCTTTCGACGTTCAAAGGAATAGTGTTACATTCTCGTGAGTTCGATACTCCAGCACCGTTCAAAGGTAATTTATATTCCAAGTAGGTTAGGGAAGAATTTTGTTCCATCGCATGTAATGCTTGAATGTATATCGGTGGTAAATTATCTCGTAAAATATGCTAAACGGGTTAAAAAAAATTATATTCGTTCGAAGGTAAAAAAGTTGTTGTCATTGGCTTCGGCAACTCTGGAGCTGACATTGCAGTGGATATAAGCAGAGTTGCAGATCCAGCTATCATCAGTTCCCCGACCGGATCATGGATAAACCCGCGAGTGTCTCAAGTATGTAATTGTTAATTCAAATATCACGTTATAAATTATCTGGTTGGACTAAAATTGAACAGAAAATATTGTGTTACCTATTCGAATTATTACTGCACAAATATATCTTCTCAGTGATATAATCCAACAGTATTAAAAAGAAAACTAAAAGTATTGATTCTGACCTTGCCCTTACAAACAAAGTCTGTTTTAACGAAGTTCAATACAAAAAGCCACACTTTCGATCTAATAAAGACTACCTAAAAATAAAACTATATTTTTTCTTCTGCTCAATCCTGTTTACCCCATGTGACATAGTAGGAACATCCCGACTTGGAAAAATTTTGAAATCATTCTCACCATAATCTTGAAGAGACTGGATGGCTGAAAATTGAAAACGAGCGCATTAATTAATCCCATAACTTTGAGGATTGAGCCAAAGTACGACTTTTGGGTAGACTACCTAAAAATTAACAAATATTTTTCTTTTGCTCAGGGCGGATTACCACGTGACATGGTAGGGAGATCCCGACTTGGAATGTTTTTGAAAACATTCTTACCAAAATCTTGGAGAGACTGGATGGCTAGAAGGAGAATGAATGAGGGCATTAATCACATAACTCTGGGGATTGAACCAAAGTACGACTGCTAGGTTTATTTATAGGAACGTTTGTGCACATTAAATCTTTTCGAAACTTATTTCCAGCAGAACAGATCAATACGAACCCTTTTTAGACTAAATTTCTGATTACATGTTAACAATATACACACTTTCTATTGGTATATATATTATCTGGATTCTAGTATTGCATTATGGTAACAATTTATTTATATGGTACTATAACATAACTAAATATTCACGGCAGTGAACATGTTTGCAGACAATCCCTTCGCGTCTCAATAAAAATTCAAAATAGTATCTCACTTCTGTGCGAAGTAAATCTGATCAGGGGGTGGCCAGAAATTTTCAAAAGATGGGTGTTTTGAAATTTCAATTTGACAATTTAGATCAAAACAGCTAGCGGGCGCGGCCAGACGCCTGAAAACGTGTGTTTTCACGAGTCCTGAGGGTTTAATAAGCGTTTTCAAGATACGAAAAACTGTTATGTATGATACAGACCCCCAAAAGCACCCCCTGGCTACGTCTCTGACTCTGATAGCTGTAGCACCTGAATAACCTTGTGCAGCGACTTAATCGATGTGATTGAAATTTACGTACATTTGTCGTATAATTTCAATAAATTATTTGTGTATGTAGAACCAGTCCAACTAGTGCTGCATCAAATATAATAGTTAATGACGAAATTGCTGGAAGAATTTTTCTGGAAAAATCATAATGAAACCTGGAATTGTTAAAATCGCTGAGGATTCAATTCACTTCTCTGATGGTACAACTGAGCGTGCAGACGTCATAATTTGCTGTGTTGGTTACTCTTCCTATTTTCCTTTCATTAGCGATGATATATTGCCAGGTTGGTAAAATTTGCATGTATATGTTTGTTGTAACATTTTTGTTAAGAAAAATTTGTGTATAAGATATTTATGGTTTTTTATAATTAACACATGCATTTGGTCTAAAGATAGTTGAATTAATTGCAATATTCATCATATATATTTAACGCATATTTGAAAATCGTACGTTATCGTCTGGCAATAATCAACGCGTTTTTTTTTCTTTATAATCGATGGGCTTATCGTCGTTAACTGACTTTTGGAGTGTAGTTTAGAATTGTGTTTTTGAAAATCTGGACCCTCATTTGTAACGGACTTTCCTAAAACGCTATTAGCTAAAGGCTAAATTTAGATCTTTCAGGGCAAAAAGACTATAAATAATATCTGCACTGTTTAAGCTTTGCTTGTCAGTTCCTCTTGTGTTGGTTTATAAAAAAAATAGATCAATTTTTTAGCATTGTTATTGTTTTTACAGATGATCGTTCAAAGCTAAAACTATTTGAATGGATGTTTCCTTACGAGTTATCAGATCCTTCTTCGCTGGCAGTAGCCGGACTATTACCTGGCTTAATTGGATCTATTCTTCCTCCTGTTGAATGCCAGGTGCCTTTTTATTGTGGATAGTTGGTAGGAACCAAATATTTTGATTTCCGCGATAAATCAAATACTCGTTTGATAAAAACAAATGAGTACTTCCCGGTGTATGTGTTCCAGGTTAGGGCTAGGCCATAATTTTATTACGATTTTCGTTATTTTAGTTTCATTACGAGTTCGGTGACTGTCTGTGTTAGCTGAGTGAATATCTCCCTGCCCATAGGTTTCAGTCCCTTTACACAAAATAGATTTCTTCCATATTGGTACACATACTTCTGTTCTGGAGCGGCAAAAAACACGGTTGAACCCGCTCATTTGAAATATAAATAATTTTTTAACATTCTTCTAAGATTAATATTGAAACTTTATAAATATGTTAAGACTAGATACATAGCTCAAATAATGAGTGGAATTAGGAAGCTACCATCTGTTGGAGAAATGAGAAAAACATTTGAGAGACAAAGAAGAGCTTTCAGCGGAGAAGGAGACTCTTTTGTTTTTCGGGTGAGTTTGGAGTGACGGTTCAGTTTATACCGTCAAAACTGAATTAAATTTGTCGTTATGGACATCAGCAAGACTCAATTTTGGGTTAAATAGGGAAATAAAAACAAATAGTCGGTCTGAATTACACAACTATTCGCACGTTCAAGAGATGTATCATCTTAATCGTTGTATTTTATATTGCAGGTTACACCTGGATTTAGTTATCAAGACAGGATAGCTAAATTAGGTGGATTCTATCCGGCTTTTTGGAAATTGTTTATTCGCAGCCCAAGATTAGCAGTTGCGGTTTACACAAGTCCATATATGTCATACCATTATCGGTTGCTTGGACGTCATCAATGGAAGGATGCAGAGAATCGAATTGTAAATGCAATTCCCAATACACTTTTCTACGCTATAGCAAAAAAGAGTGATTAACGATTTGGGTATAGTTTTTACTATGATGGTGACGTAAACTTCTTTTAATAGTCATTGATTGATTCATCTATTACTGTTAGACTTAAATCACGGGTGCCGCTTCTCGATAATAAGCAATGGTGTCTCGCGCCTCCATTCACCCCGAAGTACCATTTTACCCCTTTTTGTATTGTTTAAAGAAAGTGCATTTTAGTATGGTGTTAAAATAGACTACAGAATACTGTCACCACATTGCTAACAACCAGTACAATAAATTTTGGACTCTGAACGGCGATTAGGCATTAGGCGTATATGTTTATCAGTGATTTCGGGTGTTGTCAGTGGTGGATGGACTCAGTTCTATCTTACAGTTGGAATTTGTTTGTGGTCTCTGGTGCGGCTATCGCTCTTCTGAAACCCTATTCTGTGGCTTATACAGTTTGTCTTTTTCACCATTTGGGAGATGCCAATCTTTTTCTTTTTTCCTCATTTATTTGCCATCCCATCCTTCTTAAGTATCGGGGACATTGCTATCGACTGTCAGTGGACTTTATTGTCGTTGTGTACTAGGCTTTTATGGATACTTCTCACCAAAAACTTCATTGTTTCCTTTACGCTCATGATTTAATTTATTTATATATATGCTACCATAGCCGCTACTTTTTATTGCAAACGTATGTAGAAATAGGAAAACGAAGTTGAATTCATAGATTAGAACAATGCAAGTTGGAATTTTTCATCGTGATCATATAAAAAATATAAAATTCATTTACACCACGAAAGGATAACGATGTTTAAGGTCTCGCATACTGTCGTAAAACGACATCTTTTCTCCCAGAATTTCCGCGTGTATGAGGAACAGTTTGTTTAACCAGGAAAATTGCAATTGTTTATTTTACACGAGAAAAGAAAAAAAATCAATTTTGTATGTAACTGCCAATGGGAGAATGCGATCAATCGCATGCGTGTGGAAATTATTTATCACGTGACTTCCATCTCGAACGAAAGTGTTGATATGAAAATTCTACTGAGATGCAGTTGCAGTTGGCGAAGAATTTTAGTAGAACGCGTTTTTCGCGTACTCATCTGCATTTTTGTAAGATCTCCGAATGCTGAATATGTGAAATTCTTTAGTTATACACGTCTGCTTTAGAAAATCAGGAGCACAAATCTGCGGATACGAAATGAAGATAATTTGGAAATTTAACCTCATAATAGTTTGATGAAGAATCATATAAAATTAAGTCACTGCTTGCCTTTCGTTGATTTTCAGGTAATTATTTATCAATAAAGTATTTGTAGATGAATCAGGGACTTACCTTAAATTGACTCGAAGGTCATTGCGTTGAGTCATGTTGCACTCCTGCACAATCCTTTTTGAGAACCACTCCACGACAACGAGATTTTACCAACTAAAAGAATTACATGAACTATGCCGCCCACATCTGTCAATACAGTCAGGGGTGCACAACACGGAAACGCTTGCCCGTGTTGTGTTTTAGATAAGCTAGTTAAAACTGATCAGTTGTTGGAGTTTTTTGAATACTTCTGTCTATTTTTTTGAAAATGAACTACCATTTTTAACTTTTTCGGGATTCACAAATACCACAAGACCTATTCAAATTTACGACTCATTTGTTAAAAGTGTATTTGCAATAAAGCGCTCAAAGTTACACGAATCTCTACTATTTCAAAACTTGGAAACATCCGCCAAAATGCGAAGTTAGGAAATATACGGTTCGCATGAGCCTTTGATATTACTCTCTACAGCAGCGTTTCCCAAACTGTTTAGCCACCTACGCTTTTTATCTCGCCTCGCGGAACACAAGAAATGATAGGGTAAAACTGATAAAGAAAAATGGCGTATTGGATTTACTCAAATTTAATGAAAGGGATGAGCTTGTACAAAAGAGGAATGACTTTCAATATCAGGTGTAATAGTGGATAGCTGGATGTACATCCCCGCTTCGGCATCCCATCGGCTTTTGTACCTTGTCTTGATGGACACGTACTATGAAAACCCTGTTTCACATAAGTATGTACTCGTAAGAGGCATAAAATTTTCATTGCCTCTCTTGCAAGGATAGGATGTTCATTTCGCATATTTAGCCAAAATTTGCCAAGTGGTGGGTGACTTGTGAATTCTAACTGCCATCACTTGAAAGTTCGGTAAACTCTCCCATGGCCCTGCCAGTGAACGAAACAGTCGAATTACTGAATGGGTTACAACCTCGGGAAAATACTGGAGAAAAGTTGGTTGAAGTTCGTTCAAGTGTCGTACAATATTGTTTTTCACAGGGCTATCTATCGTGACTTTTCTATCTACAGGAAATTCTTGCAGGGAAGAAAACCAAGATAGGTCGTTGATATTCATCATTCCACTCCAAAATTTTAGTTTCCTTTTCATGGCGGTAATTTTATTTTTGACTGAAAGAACAGTTTCATACTTGCCTTGCATGCGAAAGCTAGATTCATCCAACTTGCGAAATACATCAGCCATATAAGCAAGGCACTGCAGCCATGTTGACTCGTGCAAATGAAAAGACAAACTAAATTTGTCCTCCTCAAAAAATGCCAATAATTCCAAAACTCTCACAAGTCTTTTTACTTCGGCTCAGCCAGCGCACAGCTGTATCCAATAATATATTGCAGTGGAAACCCATAATAGAAAAGAGCCTGCTTTTCAGCGATCTCGACTTGATGAAATTAACAATTTTTTACCATGTCACCCAAAACCCTGGTTAGTTCATAAGGCATTCCCTTTGCTACCAACTGATAGCGGTGTATAGCACAATGAGAGCTGCAACATTCCGGATAAACCCGTTTTTCAGCGAAATCCGGGTTTTCAGTACAATATAAAGCAGGGTAAGAAAAGTACGACCCATGGTCCATATGCGGCCAGCGAAAGCCTTGGGCAATTAAATAGTAGTTATATAGTTGTCAAGTACTATTGTTCGTTGTCGTAATTGGAGGGTGGGTGAAATTTGATCAATAATAAATTATCCCGCGAGGTTGCTTTGTATGTAGGGCATTCATCCAAAATCCTCGAAAGTATTTACAGTACAATTTGAGCAGTAAAATACGGTCCAAAATACACTCACCAGAACTAGTATTATGTAATAAATCGAAAGCGAAATATATAGAATGAAAATTTTGAGGAATAATTGGAAACGTATAGTTTCGGCGGAAAATGAAACCTGAAAACCCAAACTCCCGGGTTCAAAATAAAGACCCGCATCGAACACCCTGGAGCGGATGTGCTGCCTATGTCATCATATCGCATTTATATGTGATTATCCGTGCAACTGCTTTATTTGTATATATTCAAATCATAACAGAGGTATATCTAACTAACCCTCACTTATTCATAATATAACACCAAACGCAACATTTAGTATTAAAAATATATTTGCTTGGTTTACTATTCGATTGAAATCTTTCCAATGGGCACACGACCAAAGACTAACCAGATTATAAATCGTTACAAACATGTAGTTCAAGCAGGGTCAACTTTTAAGTCCGTAACCTTTAAATTATTCTCATTAACGAGTGATCGATGGTTTATTGACGTAGATCGCGAAGTCGTTCTAATAAACTCAGGTCATTTTCGATATAGTTGCTTTTTGGAGTCTTTTGTCATTATTCAACGTTCCTTCGCCTATCTTACAATGCTTCGGTTAAAAAGGTCGACTACAATATGTGGAAATTCATCAATCAACGTAAAAATTTACATTAATTGAAATTTTTATGACTTTCACTTGAATATGACTGATTATGTATTTATGCTACCAAAATAGATTACATAACTATAAACCCAAATCATTATTACTTATACTAACATGCAATCTGCAATAACAAAGATTTTGTTAATATCATATACTTTTTTATTCCATTAACCGCTTTTTTAGCAAGAAATCGTAGAAATTAACAGATTCTTTTGAGTAGATTGAAAATCAGTTGAATTAACTAACTTTGCCGAAATTCGCAAACCATCGATTGTTGAATGCAAAACCAAGCACGTTTTACTGGAATTTATGCGAAATGATAATTTCCCATGTTGAAACGTGCCTGATCAATATTGTCTTAATGAGAGTTTTAGACAAATCGATTTACGGCTGACGCTATTTTGTCACTTGTCCAAAAAATTTGCGACATAAGTACTGATTAAATCATAAAAAAAAATTATAACTATTCCGTATCCAAACTTCCGTTTTCAGGTCTATTCTTATCACGACGACCATTAATGGTTTAGTGGTAGCATAGTAAAAATTATACATATGTATGTATGTAGAATGTGGAATATGAAAATTGCCTATTATATAGATAATTCCGCTTTATTTCTGCCTTAGTTAAAGTTCGAAATAAACGTCAGATGCGGAATCGGTAATATTCAATCCAAAGTATTAGAAGTGTAGAGTCGGTCGTCCCACGTTAATTAATCAACAGCACGGGACTGAGCGAGATCCAGTGAAATAAAAATATAAGCCTACATTCGAATAAAAGTGGTGGTTAAAGCAAGAACTACCTCGCGAGGAAAAGTTCTATACTTGAAGGTCTAACGTCACTTTTGTCATAGTTAGGAATAGGAATTTACTGTCCTGTGTTGAGATAATCCACGATCTTTACAGTATACTTCAAGTTTAATCATTGATCCTGAGGTCATACACACTCAAAACCTTACTTGAATAGAAATTGTACGGTAATTCGAAACCACCCAAGTCTGCAGATGCTGTCAAATATATTCAAATTTTGATCCTACGCCAAATGCAGATTGCGATAATTATGTAGGATTCATTTTGATATATGTTTCGGAAATACGAATGACAAACGAAGATCATTTAAGATAATTTGCGTGATGTGTTCTTATATCAGTAAGCTAACTATATGCAGCTAAGACCGTAATGGGGAGTGGCTAGTTCAAATCTACAAGGCAGTATTGGATTTTATTTCACGCTTTTCATTATCTTCTGTATCAATATTATTTTATTAATTATAAAAAAAAATTATAATAAAATAAAAATAAATCTATTAAACCAGCTTGCGTTTTATATCACAGTTTTATATTTTGAATTGATATTTATTCATTAAACCGAACGTTGTAATTAATAATCAGGTGTTTTAGTTATGTTATATGCGTTTATTTTATTATCTCTAATGTCTGTTATAATTTAAGATAGACTTCGGTAAAATCCGTAATCGTATATTATACGGCAAATTTGTGATCATATTTTCTTTTTTCATCTATTCTATAATGTTTTGTGATTATTCCTGTCATGATATATCGATGCAGTGTGCGCAATGTTTTTTTGAAACCCGACCTATGTGGCTGTTACCAATTTCAAACTTATAGATTATTGATTATCGAATGCGATCGTGACAAAATTAGTTTAAAAATTACATAATTTTTCATATTGTCAATTGTTTTATTGGAGTTCATGATCATTAGCGTAATGACTACATTGTAAACACAATAGATTATGTCACCTCACGGAAATCGCAATAATATGGGTGGTCATTTGGCATTATTCAATTTGCAATGAGGTATTTCAGATCTGATCGTGACAATGCAAAACATTTAGGCATTTCTTTAACCTTATAAATTTCGTATCGAGTTGGTCGATCTATCAATATAGCTTTTGTTTTGCTTCAGTCATCATTCTTCTTAATTCTATTAAATGAATGTCGTCTTCGTCGCAAGGTTTTCGAACCAGGGTTTTGTTTATCTAGACTGGCGCGCCATGTAAGTGTGGCGTAAAAAGTTACATTTTATGAACAATATTCACAGTGTTACAAATGCAAAAGTGGAAAAAAATGAGCCTCGCGCCAAAACTAAATTTAATCGCAATCTCAACAAATTCCTTGATCTATTTTTAGCTGAAACATCAAAAAATGGTTTTAGTTTGGTTTTGGCAGCATCAGGCGGGCCAGATTGGATTACCTAACGGGCCAGATTTGGCCCGCTGGCCATAGTTTGCCTATGTCAGCTTTAATGTCACCATGTGCTAATTCCTAGGCACGAAAATAAAGCAATTTTTCTTTTTGCAGTGTATTTATATAAAAATTGCAATGACGACGTGAGATATGAATAACTCCGGATCAAAGTTAATGTTTATCTTGTCTCTGTTGGCTGTTTTGTCGTCTGCTGCGGCGTTTAACGTGGACATTTCTTCAAATCAAATTGATATCATTTCGTCGCCTGATGTAAACACAAAACTTTTAACAGTTCAACCCAGTAGTAATATTTCCGATACAACTTCGTATTTTGGATATACTGTTGGAATTAACATGGTCGACATAAATAATATAACAAGGGCAAGGTAGGAGTCAGTGATTCAATTTGATTTCTATTCTCTAATTCGTGTACTCCGGATTGCGTGTTCCAGGTTAGGGTTATTCCGATTTTCCCTCATTTTAGTTCCAATTCGAGTTAATGGACTGTCTGTGTTAGCAAAGTTAATATACCCTTTGCCCATAGGTTTCAATCCCTTTACACAACTTGATGTAAAGCAGGCGAACAAAATTAGTTACCTTGGTTTTGGTACACACACTTTTGTAGCGCTAAATTTCTAGTAATGTTTAGGATTTAATTTATCTACGCTTGTAAAAGACTTCCTGCTGTTAATTTGACTTAATGCTGTTAATAAAAATTTATCTGGAGAGATCTATATTTCTATATAGACTGATTTTTGAACTGGTAGGATGAATTTCGCAATCGTTGAAGCAATAATAACAAAGTGCAATACTTATAAAGTTTAAGGGGATAAGTAAATAAATAAACTCAACACTTTGTAATCAACGATATTGATTTGTATTTATATTTATAAAATATAGTATCAATTATAATAAGTTCGGATCTGAAAATATTAATCTATCAGTCTGGGTCAATTTGGCGAGACGATCAAATCGTGCCTCCCAGTTGTAGCATGTCCGCATATCAGTTCTTCACAGCCTGGATTCTGATATGACAAAAATCCGATACACTCGGACAAACTATCCGCAGCAGTAGTAGTGAAATTAGGCAATAAAAAAGGTATTAACTTTGTTTGCTCAAATGCCTAATTCATTCCACTAATATAATTCACAGATTGCTCGTAGGATCACCACTGCACAGAGCAACAAATCGGTCTTCAGTTCATCCGCACATTGAAAAAAGTAATTCAATATTAAACGTATATATATATATTTTTAAAGTCGAATTGATGTTTTACATCGGTCCTTTTCCGTCAGTCAGTCATAATCGATTCTTAACAAACAATCTTTCAGTCTGGAGTCGTTGCTGTTCAACATCAATCCATCTAAAATTCTGCTGTTTGAAATTCATATCAAAATAACATCTATTAGATTTTTTGGGGAAAAATTGATACTTTGTGGTATTAATCAACTATCCGTTCACGCCACCTTAGTTTCCTTTTCTCCACCAAAACAAATAAATATGATAATCTTAAAACTATATCATTTTTTATCAATCTGTTTTGTTTAAGAGCCGGAAGGAGGAATTTATGAATGCAAAATTGAAAACATTTTCGTAATTGAAAAAAATGATTCCAAAATATCTTCACCTTGCGTGCCAATTCATCCAGAAAAACGACTCCCCGGCGATGTATTTGGGAAAAGTATTTCTTCAAATCCTGATGGAGATATGACGGTATTTATCAACATTGACTATTTAAACTGAGATATTCCGATACCATCCAAAACCAGACTTCTTTTTACCGTTAGATATATATTGATATATTATTTAGGATTTATATCAGATGCTTTCATTGCCAACTCAAAACCATCGAACCTATCACTGTAATATGCCAATACTTGGGTTTAGATGAATTTTCGCTGTTAACTCATATGTTTCCCCTTCGCAGGCTTGCTCTGCAACACGAGGAAAGAATTGCTTTTCCGCAATTCATTTACCGGGATTTTGTTATAGAAGTTCTGATTTTGGAGAAACGTGGAATATGGATAAACGGTCAAGAAATGCAGGTAAAACAATATGATATCATAAAAATATATTTCTCTCCTAATTATTATCAGCATAAAGAGGTATGGATTATTTTTGCAGCTTGCAGTGTGGAAACTGTCGACGTCATGTTCGTTCTTGATGGTTCGGCTTCAGTAGTCGGTCACTTTCAAAAGATTAAAGATTTTGCAACGAATATCACGGCCTTGCTTGACATAGAAAAGGGTACAATACACGTTGGAGTCATTCAGTATTCAACATTTATATGGCAAAGGTACATAGTTTCATTTTATATAGAGTTAAACTGTGTTGTACTTTCTGACTCGATAGAGTCAGGTCGATGAGGCTTTAAAATGTTGGGCAGTTTCGGACACAAAAGTTTACAATATTACATTCTAAAACTAAAAAAACACAGTTTCACATGTCGTCGTAAACCCAAAGTTTGTGCGGAACTCCCGACAACATCAAGTCATCTTGCGTTAAATATATTAAACTAATAAGTTCCAGGGATGGCCAATACCGAATAGTTCACTATTTCGAATACATTCGAAATTATTATTTTCGAATATGAAATTTCGAATACTTCGAAAATAAAATCCAGTAATAGAATCTAAGTGTATGAAGGAATTTTCATACAATAAACAATGGAATAACTTCTATCTACAACCTGGCTATATTACCAGGCATTTCATGTTTGCAGATTATTGCGATATATATTTTATATAACATGAGTTGTATTAATTAACAGAATTAAAATAATACGACAAGGCATTTTAAATAGTAGTTTACCACACATTCAATGTCCACAGATCACCGTTGTATTTTGTAAATACGAAAATAGGAATCAAAAATTAATATCAATCGCGAGTTTGCCTCACAATTTATGTCCACAGAATGCCATGATATTGTGCCCGAATATAATTAATTTTTGATTCTTATTTTCGTACTCGAAAAAATTGTCACAAGTCGGAAAAATAATTTATACTTTATTACACATTCAAGTCCACAAATCGCCGTTGTATTTTTGAGTTATAATAGTTTTAATATTTTGTAAATACGAATCCGAAATTAATTATAATTGGGCAGTTTACCACACATTTCATGCCCACAAATACCCGTGGTATTTGGTATTAATACTTTCATTATCGATACTTTTGACCATCATTATCAAAATTATTTTCCAGAAAGCGGGTGAAAGTATTTTTCTAATAAATCAATTGTTTCCCAACTTGTGACAATTTATTGGATATCGTAACAATTACGGCTATAAATACCGTATTTCCCGGCTAATAAGCCTACATGGCAAATAGGACGATGTATATTTTTAGCACTCAAAAAGGGGGTTTCCCATATAGGCCTCCAAGAAGGCGGGTAGAAAAATTATTCCCTGTTGTTCAGTTATGCTAATATGCGCTAATAATAATGTTTAGAACCAGATCACGTTTGTTTAGTAGAATCATACTCACAGAATTAACTATTTTTAACAATAAAGCGGTAATTTTAAGTTAAAAATTACAATCATTTTGAACAATCTATAATTTTATAGGGTCAGAACAGAACCAGATCATGTTTGTTTGGTAGAACCATACTCACGGAATTAACTATTCTCAACAACGAAGCGGTAAATTTAAATTATAAAGCGGCAATCATTTTGGACAACCTATCAACCCGAATGTTGAAATGTTCGAATGTTGTACCACACGGTACGTCCACGGGTTATTTCACAGCTGTGTTTCATGTCCCTGTCGTTTTCTGCTGAATCGGCAAAACCAAAGGGTCATAAATCACTTACTTTATCTCGGTGGCGGTGGCCGTGTTTTCTCTTTTAAGTAACGATAACCGGCCTACGATTAAATATCATGATTGGCAGACCCATAAGAACCAAATATAAGGTTTAACACAAATTATGCTTGAGAAGACTAATGCGAAAAATAACAGGCCACATAGAAATAAAATAAACATGCTTTCTCAATAAGGCGCCCCTCCCCCCAAAAAATCAAGCCAAAATTGGGTCTAGAAAAGCGACTTATTAGCCGGGAAATACGATGATTGTCGATTTTTCAATTAATGGAAATGATTTTGTGAATTAAAAGACGAATGTCGGCAATGTCCACCAACGCAAACGTGCAAATGTGTCGCAACACTATGCGACGTACATTCGCGCTGAATATAAACAATCAAAATGCCGACTCATCGTCATTTAATACGTGAGAAAGCGTAAAAAGTCGTTTGAAGATTCCGGTAAAACGAAACACCGTGTTTACGGCGAAAAGTGACTACTATTCGTAATTATTCGGAAATGAGCCGAAAAGGTATTCGAATACCTTGATATTCGAATAATTTCGAATATTCGATTCGTTTTGGACAACCCTGCTAATAACCAACTCTCAATTTCTCAGGTGTGTATTAAGCCCGCTGACTGATTTTTGTTTTTTGATAATAAGTTTTTCATTTAGAGTTTTCATTTTAATGTGATTTTTTATTCAAACAGACCCCAGCATCGAAAAAATTACATCAAAACGGAATTAAAACTAGGAGAGTTTCAAAATTTGGAGGATTTTCAAGCAAGTATATTTAAGCAATCTAACTGAAATTATAGAAATTATAGACTACTGATACAATTTCAATACATCGCTGATTTCGTACAAATAATTAATTGTTGGGCATTGGTTTGTCATATGGTCTTTCAACTCCAAGTAACCGATAGAATTGAAATCAAGATCCTTCCAGCATACATCTGAGGCTACTTGGACTGGTAAGTAATTTTTGTACCCAAACGGCCAAACGAAAGACCTATTGCAAAATTCTATGCTGGAATTATATCAAGCTTGGTGAATCAATGAATTTTCCAATAGAATTTCATCTTTATGTATGATAGAGATCTATAGTAATTTAAAATATATATATATAATCTATTTCCAGGAAGCCATGTCGCATGTAAATATTAGCATGGGTGGAACAATGACAGGTGCTGCATTAAAAAAAGTCGTTGACGATTTCACACAATCTGAAAGATATAACTCTTCGACCAATAAGCAAGTTATGATACTTCTTACCGATGGACAGTAAGAAAACTTTTTGACCTTTGTAATAAAGTCTGGTGTTGCGAAATAGTTCATAAATCTTTTTATCTCATATTCATTAGAATATGACAAATTTTTAGGTATGAAAATCACGATTTTGCCAGTTGTTTTGTAAATAAATAGAAAAGGCAACAAAAGGGCTGGTGTTTAAGTTATATGATGTTTTGCAAATGTAGTTTTTCGCCTATTTTGTATCCGACAATTTGCCCAATTTCGCTTGGTTAACGATTAAAAAAGGTAATATTACTCAAGTTAATTATTGAACGTGAGTGACTCATATGAATTTTATGTTTTCAGGTCAAAGTATTCGAAACACGTAACACTTTATGCTCAACAACTTCGTGACATTGGAGTTGTTCCATATGCGGTTGGAGTTGGACAAAAAATTGATGACAATGAACTAAGAGTAATAATACTTTATTAAAAAAACTTTGCTGCATAGTGTATATAGATTTAGCATTTGCCTAGCTTAAGGAATAGGCTATTAAGCAGTTGATTGGGCGCTCCCGAAGTATGTGCACCAAGATGACGCACAATCTGAACCCTAACCAGGTACTAACTACTCTATACTATAGGGCAGGGGTGGGCAAAATTTTTAGGATAAGAGCCGCATGCGGCAAGTCAGATTTATGTGAGAGTCCCATAATTTTTGAAATATTAATATTAGAATACCGTGAACTGAAAAGAACTTTACACAAACGTATAATAACTATATTGCAAAGTATTTATTGAGAGGCCATATCGAAAGTAGTTGACTTGTGTGTTCCCATCCTATCTGAAAGTTTTTAAAAGTCTTGGTAATATGTGCCAACGCATCAACAAACTTTTGATTATTGTGATGTCAGATTTATCGTTTGACTGATTTAACTTCAAATTCTACGCTACGATCTTCATACTAAAACATAATTTGTCTTAATCATTTCTGAAAATTTCTCCAATCGCTTGATAATTAAAAAAAAAACTGTTAGGCTACAGTTTCTCTTATTTGAATTTGCATAAAAACTCAGGCGAGACGCATGCGGCTCGCTAGCCGCGGTTTGCCCATCGTTGCTATAGACTAGACTTAGAGTAATCAAAATACAAACTGTTTATGTAATTTTTCTTAAATACTAAGGTGATTGCCACGGGAACAGATACTGACGTCAGAGTATATAAAGTTGAAAATTTTGAAGGACTGAATGATATTGTTGATGATTTTCAAAGTGAAATCTTGAGTATTCAGTTAGAATGTAAGTCAAGGTGTTGTTTTTCTGGCACGTGATCATGCTGTTTGACTTGAGGATCAATTGCATTGCATGTGTCTCCTCCAACTGGAGTCCCCTGCTACTCTACATTTTGTCGTATTTCAGAAAAATCCGCCAGTACCAAAATGAATTGTTCGCTGATCAATTTAAATCCACAAGTGTCACGTGTTTGAGCATTGGTCTCTAGTAATAAACGAACTTTCACAAATTCGGCGCTTCGGCAGAACAACTGTGCGATTCTTGCTTATTAAAGAGAAATCTGAATTACTGTCTATACTGCAATGTGTGTATATCCTAAAATTTACGTGTAAAATTAGTTTAAGTCAGAATAATTTTTCGAAATATTCAATTTTTGTATTTTATACACTGTCCTGTATTCCAGCTTCGCATCACAATGACAACGCTTCATTTAAACTGGAAGTTGGCGAGACAGGATTTTCGTCGCATTATGGAGCTATATTGAAAGATGAAAACAATAACACAGTAAGTTTATATCTTTACGAAACTGGGTATTTTCTTTTCTGTTTTAATTGCTATATTTTAAGTAATTTTTGTGAGTTGTGACTGCAATGTACCTTGTTTGGGTGTGTGATGTTTCTGTCTGATGCAGCGATGCCGGAAAAGATTTTATTTATACTCTCCCTTAACCTCAATTTTGGTTTACTTTGACGCATAACAGAGTGTCACAATGGTAAGTGAATCCACTGAAGATGAAAACCGAGTTTCATGTCGAGTTAAGTTGCAAAGTTTAGTTGACTATTGACTAAAGGAAAACGGTCTATGTTCGAAAATAATTGTAAAATATACAAGATGAAGGCTCTTCGTTGTTAATTATTGAGGGATAAAAATGAGTATGATGCACAAGTCCATCGGTTTCATCAATGAATGTTGAACGGTGGAGTGGAAAAGTAGTAATTTACTGTTTGTATAATTTGAAGCCATCAATCTTGACAAACTGTAACATAACGTTCAACAATAAAAAAACTGCAAGATAAAATTGACATAGCATAATAGTGTATTCACGAAAACGTAAGTGAGCTCTCTCTTAACAACAAATGTAAAATGCTGATATTTTATAAAAATTAATAAAAAACGATGGATTGTGGTATATACGTTAATAAAGACATACAGATATGATTCCAATTGAAACATTTTGCCATTGGATATTGACCAATCTCCAAACATTTATATAACAACTAAATCAAATTCGACAAACAATATTGTTAGTATAGGCATACAGTAAGAGTTTTGTTTTTATCGATTCTAAATAACAACCTGTTTTAAAACGAGGGTTTGTTTTAAATCAATTTTATTATGTATTTTAATGAAATACCCATTGCATCTACGTGAAAATACGCCAAAATGTTGCGTTCTGGCAGTTGCACACGCTGCCGGAATATTATTTTCAAAAAATAAAGAAAATAATTTTGCTTCCACTTTTATCGCGCAGCTTTAAATACCAAGTTAGTACCTACACCAAAGTTATATAATACGATTTCATCGAGAATGGGGGATAACTTTAGAACGTATTGATTCAGACGTTTTAATTTTTATTTCGTCAAAGGTGACGTAAAACCTGTATTTATATGAAAATTTCTCTGCCCTCCACGCCCCATGGGACACGAAAACCGTATGAATTTCTGGAAAATGATGTTAAAACATTTCGTATGAACTTCGTGCCCATATATTTGAGCATAACTCTCTTGTTAGTTATAGAGAGCAAAACATTTTCAGCATTAACAACATACTTCGTTAAGGGGCTGATGGACACATGTGTAATAGTTATGAATATAAAGTTAACAGAGTCCGTAAATTTTGTTGTTTTGCAAGTCTCTTCGTACATGTAGTCCTATTTAGTAGACACTAAACCTAAATTTAACAATTTTTATTAAATGTTATTCCAATGGGAATTCCAAGGGACGGGATGGGACATGCATAATTTCTATGGGATAGGATGCGAATGGGACAGAAAAATATGTCCCATGGACAAGCCGGGTCATAGGGGTAGAGTTATTCAAAGTTATACAAATTCATTTATTAGGCCGTATTTTTTCAATTTTTTGAACGGTAAATAATTGGAACAAGAATTATCAACCTGAATAAAAAATATGAGATATATAGATTTTTAAACTAGAATAATTCCGGAACAATCCTTTACAATTTGAAAACGAATTAAAATGAATAATAATTCGAAATTGATTGTCAAGGCCTTCGAGGTTTAGCCTACCTTGCCTAATGGTATATGATATGCGACCCTGGTTCAAATTCCATGAGAGATCTGACAAGGTGACAGAGGATTGCTGGATTCCTCACTATCGCAGGGTGGTTCACGTAATGGCTTATCAGTTGCGACTTCATCCGCCAGCCACGTTTGCGGGCGCATTGCGCTATAGCTTGAGAAGACGAGTAAGGCCAAAACATCGATATCTGTGGCGTTTCGTAGGTTTGTTGTGAATAAGAAGCGATTGGCAAGTTTTCACATCCATTCTTTTTGTTTTAGTTTTAACCTATTTGGTACAAAAAAAAAAAAAATAATACTACCATTTTAAACAAAACATTATATCAAAAACTAGATTTGAAACAACTGTTTTAAAAAAATCCTTTTTGAACAAATCCCTAAATACAGTAATATTTTTTTCATCTGTTTGTGAAAGATTATCCTCGCTTGTCACACCAAGCATCTACGTTTCAACTTAGGTAATCATGGGAAATATTGAAAAACACTAACCTATAGGATTTTGCTCCAATACAGAACGCATGCACCAGAAAATGAACATATATAATACATATATACATGTCTAGAGGAGTCTAAAAAGCCGCAATCGGTTTCACCAAACTGTTGGCGCTTTCGTGTGTGAAATAAAAATAAAATCATTTCTTCAAATTTCATGTTAAACTTTCATAACTACATATTAGATTAAAACTATACATAGTAATAGTAACGAATTGTTGACCATTTCGAGAACGCAACACATACATCGAATGCGCGAAAGAAAGAAAAACGTTAAAATTGTATGCCACATATTCAATGTATTCCCCTGTACTAAAATGAAATCCGTAAAATATTTAGATTTGCAGGCGATGCATCATAGAATTTATAGTTTAGGATGAATTTTGTGTTGAAAAGCACTATATGCAAATTAGCCAGGAAAATGTATATGATGCAGAAACGAAGTCACAACTCATGAGTAATATACAAATGTGAATGGTCAATGATGAATAGCTACAATCAATATAATGACCAAAAACTTAGTTTGGGATTTTGAACCTAAATGGTCCCGCATTACGAATAAATAGTACGCTGTATTGCAATGATGCCTGTTTTCAAGGAATTACGATAAAGATTTTGACGTTCCAAAAGTGTCGATTACATACAACGCCTCGGGCTGATGAGTTTGAATTGTGAACAATACGATTTCTTGCAAATATTTTCGGGTAATGCATATCTGTCAGCCTCAAAAATATTTAGAGGACTCACTTTTTATTCTCACAAAGCATTGAAGTTTTGCAGTTACTTCATTTTGGTCAGAATGCTTCAGGCAGTCGTTTGAACGTAAGTTTGGAAATTCAATGTTTGGTATTTACAATTATGTGTTTTTGGTAACGTAAACCACGCCCCACGTCACGCTCGCTCCGGGCATTTGGAACAGCATTAGTCATCTTATCGACAGAATAATATCCTAAACTGGTATTCGGATGGAAATGTATTAGGATTTGCTTTATGCGAGTTCATGTAAATACTGTCAGTGAGAGATAAAATTTTACCGTCGCTTAGATGCATGGTAAATTAGACATGCTTCATAAAGTTGTCCCAGTACCTGATCTAAAATGAATCTTAAAATAATATTTCTATTGAAGCAAAGACATTCTATGAATATGATCTAACTATCTCTATTTTCTAGATTAATTGATTCCATTAAATCATTCATCAGGTCATAAATATTGCGTTTCTATGGTGGTCCTTCAACTCAAATATCTTTCAATATGAAATCAATTTTTCCAGCAAGACGTTTTTTTAAATATATACATACTTTTTATATCTATATATGAGCAGTATTTTGCTCATTAGTATTAAAACACAGTGTTTTAGAGATAAACGTAATGAAGAATAGAATAACAGCAGCATGTTTTTGTCTAGTCGTGAGTCTTCATGTCATCTATGCTGAGGGTAAGAATATTATATATATCTATGAGCTAATTACTCAATGGTAAATTCTTAGTTTGATAATATGAACGTTAGTAACTGATATCTGATCATATAACGTAACAAAGCACGAGAATTATATGATTATAACTTTTGGAAATAATATAGATCTTTTATCGTGTGGAATGGTCTACCCAAGACATTTGTAATGTATTGCGATTTCGGGAAACAGTAAGTGTGAAATACAATGAGTAAAACTCTCAACTATCGTTGTTTCACTAATTGAAATGATTCTTGTATGTATCGGGCTCTTATTTATTAGTTGTTATGTACCTAAGTATGTTGAAACATTGATTAAATTTAGAATTCTCACGATCCAAAAGAGCTCCATCAAACTGGTTATCTTCACCGACATTAAGTGAAACTCAAATTAAAATGATATTGGATAGTCACAACGAAATCAGAGCAAAAGTCAAGCCTTCAGCTACCAATATGGCTCGCTTGTCCTGGTCAACTAAGCTGGCGGCGAAAGCACTGAGTCGTTCGAGGTAGGTATTTTTGTCGAAGGTAGTTTATATAAGACAGTTTTCTAGCACGGTAGCTTGATAAATTGTTTAGTTGTATACATATATATACATATTACTACTCATTTGTACTAGTAATTTTTATACTTCAGCGTCGAGATTTTTAAATGCCAAACTTTTCACATTCTCTGGAAAGCTACTGCATTAGCACATCAAAGTTAGTTGCTATGAAGCAACAAAATAGGTGTGCTGAAATGTACTTGATATATGCTGTGAATGTATTACATTTATGATTTTGCAGAAATTGTGAGTACATTCCATCAAATGAACAGGGCACGGGAGAGAACATCCATGTATCTACGTCCACTGATTTCGAAAACGTTGTAAAGGGTTTTGTCAGCGAATGGGAGAAAGAGGTGATTGGCTGGTACTAGCTAGATGCTGATAGGTATTCGCAAAATTTAGGAGTAAAGTTTTTTGAGAGAACATAGAACTCGGAGTGTTTAACAAACGTGACTATTACGTGTTTGCAATTTTAAAATTTAAAAGAAAAATCAAATACCTCCAGATACAAGTCTAAATATCCTTTTTTTGTTTTAATTGGTATATATATATATCAGAAAAAAGACTATGATTTTCTATCTTCCTCGTGTACTTTCGGAAAGCAATGCAACAATTATAAACAACTTATCTGGGCTGACACATATGAAGTAGGATGTGCAATCTCTTATTGCAGTTCTGTCGGGGATCTTGGTAGAGGATATTTAACAATTTGTCAATACAAAGTTGCAGGAAACGCAGTGTAAGTAAAGAAAGCTTCTTCTTGATCTGATCTCATTTTTGTCATGCGCCCTATCAAAAACCATCGATCAAAACATTGAATAGAAGTTGGCGAATCTCGAGATAGAGTTGGACCATTCTCTCTTACTATCTCTATCCCGCTCTGTATCACAGTGCGCATATGGCCACAGAAACCACGTACTGTATATATATATCAATAAATTTATATATTTGGAACATATTTTTCGCATGCGATTGGCTGGAATCTACATTTTGATGTTGACTACCTTTATTTTCCTATGATGAGTATTGAAAACACTTACGCTCTAGGTTTCTATTTTTAGTATTGAGATTGAGAATGGCGTAACTGTTCCTCTAGCTCCATATAGAGAAGGCGAGTCATGTTCTGAGTGCGGGAAAGGATACACTTGTTCCGAAAATCTTTGTACTGAAGGTGAGTCTAATTTTTATTGCATGTAACGAGCTTTAACATAGTGAATTTATATTCTATATTAAATATACATACGACACTGTAATATAGTATTCCGTTTGTCAAAGCCTCAAAGGACATATTCAGAATCGTGGTGATTTACCATTTTCTGACTTCAGGCGCTATTATAGGTTCTGCAGTTTTAAAGAGATACGGCTTCTTTCGTAGAAAGCCCACGCAATTCATGCAAAAATATGAGATATGAGAAAAAAAAACTGTCACGTTTTGAAAAAAGGGCAATTATCCAGTTAGGATTCGGGTTAGGAATGATTTCAAAATTTGAATTTTCAGCGCAATCTGTATTCCCAACCCTAGTCCTATCTGAATAATTACTAATTTTCTTATTTTGAGCGGTTGAAGATACGAGATATATATGTTCACTAATCTTAAAAACTGCAATGAGTTGATCAGATATTTTGGGGCTCCCGAAGTAGGCTCTTGGCTAGTCTTCGAACTGATAATAGGACTAAAATAAGGAAAATCGGAAAAAATTATCGCCTAACCCTAACCTGTTAGCCATGTTACGTTCCGATGTTCGCCATCTTGGTTCGCATACTTCGGGAGCACCGATATTCTTTTACTTATTACTGCGAAGTTATAAGTATTAAAGCGTTGTATTGATGAAACATAGGATGCTAACTAACTACTTGCTCTTAAATGTATGACAATGTTTCATTTCAGCGAGTGCCCATGATGAATCCACTGAAGACGATCAGGATGAATCCGACGCATGTTATACGGAAAATAAAAAAATGATCGATGCATGGAATGAACAAATGAAGTGAGTCATTGGTGTATCTAAATATGATTTTATGTCTGTAATTGATACAAAGATCGTCACCGACTAGGAACTGTAGTCAAGCAAGCAAACTATTGATAACGCCGAAATAAGCCCAACGTCACAAATTAAAAAACTAAAAAGAAACAGTGGCAACTTAGTTGTCGGTCTCGCCCACGCTGAAGATCCCAGTAAACAAATTGTATTGTTGGACATCGTTTGAGAAAAGTCTATTTCAATGTGATTAATGCCAAAAGTAGGCTTTGACATTAGTAAATTTGGATTAAACTTTCACGTATTGCGCAAATCCACTGCCTGATTTCACCCCTTTTCAGCAATGTATATATATATAACGTTTACTGGAAACTAGATTTGTGAATGCAAAATCCAATATAAATATATGTAATAGAGTTTTGATTCTGCATATTTCATGCTTTTCCATCCGAGTACAGGTTAATTTTTTGGAAATACCGTGTTTCCCAGCAAATAAGACCTAGCTTGAATTTTAAATGATTTAAATTAAAATGATTTCAATGTAAGCCCTTCTCTCAAAGTAAGATCTAGTTAGTCGATAGCGCGAACTTTTTTGTGTCGGACATGTGATTTATGAAGTTAGTGACTTGCAAGACATTCCAGAGGATGATGATATGGTCATTTCTGAATAATCTATGATTGGCAGTATTTTAAAATAAAAACGTGTTATTTAAGTAAGTAAATAGAAGTTGGTTTTAATATTTTGTATATTTGAAAATTTCGTAACTCTATACTTTGCAATTTTGCATTTGATAAATGAAAGACATCCTCCCATAAGACCGAGTGTTATTTTTCGAAAGAAAATTGAAATAAGACCATGTCTTATTTTCGGGGAAACACGGTACTTGTGGCTAAAGAGGATATATATACTGTGCATCATAATGTTACGTCCTGGTGAGACCATGTAACCACCTATATATCCTGATGTACCGTGCCTGGCGTGCCATACGTCAAAAACTTTATTAAGTTATAACATTTTTGCAGGGTGTACAGAGAAGTTCATCTCGAAAGGTGGAAAAAGCAGATGGCTGATTACGAATACGCATTAAACGAGGAATCGTAACTCTAAAGAGTATATTATTGCGATGTTCGGTCTCTAACTTTATATTTTTTGTTTACACGATCCCACCAGCTGACGCCATAAATTTATCCGGGGTCATGAATTCTGGTACGGTATCTGGCCAAAAATTCATATTGCCCGGGTGGCCATGCTTTGAGGATAGCTGTCAGCTTCAATCATGTACGGGTATCAAAATAAGAAGTGGAATATCTTCAGTTAGGCAGCAAGTGTTCGTGACCATTATTAATCAACGCATTAACTTCTTCTGGACTAGATACAATTTTAATAATATGCAGTACCATATTGATAAATCATTTTCTCTCTGTCACCTCACGTACGTAAGAGAGGCTCAAAATTTACCAATTATTTGAATTGTACCAATTTGCATTCATTTCGATGTTCACTCGCATGCATATACTTCTAACTCCAAGACAGCTAAACTTGCCTTTTGCGTCACATTGTAGTGGCTCAGATTAGATGCAATTGTTTTGTTTTTCAAGCTTTCAAAGAAATATTTTTCCAATTATACCTGCTTGCAATGCAGCAAATAGAATTTGCAATTTTTTTATTAAAATATAAATAAACACAGTTGTCAATATAAAAAAATTTATAAAAACTGAGATTGCAATAAGGAAGAAAATAGGAAACACATGAGATTGTGAAAGGCTTGATCATATAAAAAAAAAGTCAATGCCTGGTATTTGAACAGAGAGTGTAGCGCAAACAGAATGTGCATACAAACTGGTTGTTATGATACTTGAACATAATACAATGAGAAATCCACTCCTTCAAAACGATGAACATTTCACCTTATTCAAAACACACTGTTTAGTACTCTATCAGCGTAGTTTGCATAGGATAGAAATGGACGCATTATAATCCTATTATGAATAACACTGTCATAGAACTGGACCAGAAGCCTTAATCCTTCGAAATTTGGTGCTTTGTACAGATTGAGGTTTTCTCCTACTCGGAGGTTTTGGAACATGCGCAAATGGTGTTGAAACAGCATTTTCAAATTTAAAATTATCAAGAACATCATTGCTGACAACTTGTGTCTGTACATTGGTATTATTTAAATCCCTATTGGATATTTCATCATCTTGCAATTTTGAAAACCGATTTGTGCTGTCAGACAATCCTAGTTGACTGATGGGACGAGAACATACACCGCTATCCGGTGTACCACAAAAAGATCCAAGGTATGTTCTTGGGGATGAATCCTCAAAACTGGAACCAAAGTCTAGTGAACTATAACATCCCCTTGTGCTATTCTCAGGATTTGATATCATTGACATGGAATTTCTTCTTTGGAAGACGTTAGGCAAGGGCTTCACATCTTTTTCTATCGGATAAGTGTGACTTCTAGTGCCCAAAGATGGTGTCAAGGGATGTTTAATCAAATTTTTACTGCTGTTAACAATGGAATTAGTTGATCGAGGTACTGTGTTACTTATAGCAATTCCTCTTTCATGCATTTGATATGAACTTGCTGAAGCTGGTCTCACTGGTGGCAGGTTTTTTCTTGATACAACAGGTGTTGTAGTTCTTATTTTGTTACTTTTTTCTTCCAGACTAATTAATTTTGTATTTACTTTTATATCAGATGGATTTAATTCTATACTTTTCATCAAATGATTTTCCAGTTTTTTGCGTTCCTGTTTCAATTCATTGAGAGAAGGTTCAACTACTGGTTCAAAATCACATCTGCCTTCCTCCACACATTTCTGTAAAAAAATATCTCATATAAAATGTAGGAAAAGTGCAATGAAATTTATTGTATTGAAAAAAACGTCGCATCCTAAACGAACTCAAATGCCTACCTATAACCTTACCTTAAAATATAACAAGCAGAATGTCTCTATATTGGAATTTCAGAAAATATGAATATCTGACAAGGCATGGAACTTGAGGATTGTGAAACAAAATTAGTTTCATTGCACACCGCATATACATTCGAATAATATCAGTTTTAAATGACTTGAAACACATCGGAGATATTTGGGATCCTATTATCCTACATAAAACTTCTAACTTTAAAACTTCAATCAGTAAAAATTGAAAGTTTAAAAATTGTATCAGTATTCAAAAACTACTCACCCTAATATACTCAATATCTTCAGTCAAAATTTCACATTCACACTGTAATGATCTTTTTAGCACATCAATTGGAGTTTCAATTTCTAAAACCTCAATATTTTTTGCAACAAGACCAATTTCCCCATTGTCCAATAATGAAGAAGATGAATCTCGAGATGAAGGACGTAATAATACATTAGGAGAGGGTGCGGCCCGTTGATCTGAATATAGTTAAGTAAATAACTTGAAAAAATTATTTGAGAAAATTTGAAAAAATCATTCGAATATCTAAGAAATTTAAAGTTCATTACACACTGATATCCAAGTAATCAATTGTTCCAAATATGAGAACTAAATTCCTTGCAGATGATACATTTTGATAGTTATGTTAAATTAAATTTAAATTTTAGATTCAAGATCACGATTTCAATTGGAAACCGAGTATTGACAATTCAAGCAGAGATTTTAATTGTGTAAAATAGGTATTTGCTATGACATAAACAGTTGTATACACTTTTTAAACTTTTCACTGATTACATTCGATGTAAAAGATCACATTTTAATTATTGTTCCGTTAAATATTTTTCTTCCAGCAACTATAGCTTGAACTAGATATTCTTAATTACTGGGTAACACTAACCAGTAACCACTGATATTTGTGAATGTCTGAATTTTATTCATGAGCGTGTAGTCTTACTTATATTCATTTGAAAGTTTAATCAAACAACTTTTGTCCCCTTGTTTAGGATTACCGCAGTATGTAATGTCATCCAATAAACTTTGACTGCTGTTTGAGTTATTCGTAACTCGTTGATTGTTTTTTAATATCAATAATACAAAACTACTGATCATGGGTTTTAGACTTTCCATACACTGAGTAAGCATTCCCTGTTTATTCATTTCTGTCCCATTTCACATGACAAAAATAGAGTTTACCTTCTGATATATAATTCATAAACTTTATTATTTGTTCATTGCTGTCAGAAGGTAGAGTTTGTCCGAAATCATTCTCATTCTCTTTCAAATTCTACAAATACAATAAAAATCCATGCTAACTAAACATTTTAAAATCCCCTATAATGACCAAACGACATATTCAATATATAGGTAAACCCCATACACATTTCTGTAAATCACAATAGTGAAATATGGATGATGCGTGAAGCACAGTGAGCAGGTCGTAACCCCTCCCCCCCTCCATCTTATAAGGTACCCAACCTGCACTGATAACTGAACAAGAGAGCATCATAGAATGTAATTAGACCATAATATTCAATGAAGCCTTTGGAATACTAGATTCATGGAAGTAGTAGTTCAAGAAACGTTTTGACTGAGTATTTATTTTTTTCTTGTTGTGTAAACTAGATTAGTGAGTCTTTTTGTGGAGCAGGAGTTGAGAATTCAAATTACTTGTAACTGGCAGTTGTCAATTTACTATTTATAATTGAGCTTATGTCCCATCTAATTGTAGATTTGGGGTTTTATGCAATCACACAGAATTCCACAAACCACAATTATTTTTACAAATAATACCTGCAACAATAGTTGAATTTCTCTGATCAACATTTCTCTTTGTTTTGGCGGTTCTGGAAATCCTGTTGTTTTTGTTGATATATGGAAGTTGGGAATTTTATCTTCACTAATTTCATTCCATATTTCCAGCAATATGTTCAGCTGAAAAAATTTCAACATATCATCAAAAGCTCTAATTTACATCATGTGGCCCAATCAATTTGAGAAAATATTTAATGATGAAAAGTCCTATTTCAAATAAATAACAACAGAAACAAAACTAAATCTTGTAATTCAGATCAAGTGATATTTGTAAGGTGCTACAAAATACTTGCAACAGTAGTTAGAACAGGGCGAATCAAACTTTTTAAGCAAAGGAACTAGTATTCCAATTATAAATTGTTGTTTGTTGCATTATGAGTCACCACATAAAAACTTATGGAAGATATTTCAAATTTGGATTCTTAATTAAATAGCAAGAATAATGTTAAATGCATACTTCATTTCGCAAATCATTTGCATAATCTACTTTTGATTCTCCAAGTAAGGTTCTTATAACTGGTACTTTTTCAGCTGATACACTTTCTTCAATTACTTCCCATACACATAATGGAGGAGAATATTCAAGATTATAACATTCACTCATTTCAGTCAAATTTAACAGAAGTATTCCTATGTCACAATGTATGAAAACATGTTTATAAAGATATGAAATGTATTAAATAGTTTCATTGGATTATTAAAAATGTACATTGCAAAATTTGAATTTAAAGTTTAACTGTTATGACTTTGCATATCAAATAGAGAGAGAGAGATTTATCACAATACAAAGTTCAAAAAACACAATATTGCAAATTTTTATAGAAATACAGTGCAGTGGACAATTTCAGCATTGAATTGCGTAGTCAGTATTATACAAGACATTTGAAGGCAGTCATACTACTTACTGAATACAGCACGAAACACCGCAAAGAGCGCAAAACAGAGGGAAACAGCGCAAAACAGTGTGGAAACAGCGCGAAAGAGCGCAAAACAGAGGGAAACAGTGTGAAGCAGAAAAAAATTTTGCGATGAGTTCGGGGCACCTTGTTTTGAGTTGGAGTACCACGGCAGCAAATTAAAAACACAAACCAACGTATGTAGCCAGTAATGCTGTAATGGCAGGTCTGCCCCTGCTGGTGACACATTTTGGGTACCATAATTTAGAACATTTTCCATATGGATATGGTTGGCTTTAGGGTTAGGGTTAGGTAAAAAGGGACCTCCAGAAGTATGTGCACCAAGATGGCGCACAACCTGAAAATAGTATGTGTGTGTGTAGTGGATTCAGGTTGTGCGTCATATTGCTGCACATACTTCTGGAGCACCAAAAAGGTAGATAAAATTTCGCATGATGACCTATAAATCCGGTACATAACCTTGTAAATATGCCGGAAATAGCGCCATAAAACCATGGCGAGAGGCGCTGTGGTTCTTCCGTGGCAGGAGGTGGTAATGACTGCGTCTCCTGTTTTGCGCTGGTTTCCTTCTGTTTCGCGCTGTTTTCCTCTCTTTTGCGCTGTTTCGCGCTCATGCGCTGTTTTGCGCTCTTTGCGGTGTTTCGCGCTGTATTCAGTAAGTAGTAAGACCCATTTGAAGGCCATCGAGGCTCCTGGCCATTTTGTTTATACTGTGATCAAACTTCAGAATTGATTCTGATAATATGTAATTATAAAAAGAAAGAAATTGAGTCGGCAAAGTATATTTTTTTTTCTATAGTTCTATGATTTGACACTTCAGGTTTACTGTAGAGTTCAGAGGGCATGTTTGCATGTGTAAAATTAAACTACTCTGTGATCTAGTGCAGATCATATCCACAGAACCTGGCTCAGTATAGAATATGAATAAACAGTAGACTAGGCTATAACAATATCAAAGATTCAATCAATCAAAATAGCACTGTATTACATTAATATCAAGGTGAGACAATCTTTAATTGAATAAGCTGATCCTGATAAAACAAATTAAATCTGTAAATAGTAATTTAATTTCATGTAACGTAATTCCGGTACGTTAGGTATATAACTGTATATGCAGATATGGTCAAGCGCATTGTACATGCGTGACAATACTCTTCTACTCGTTAACAGTGTAAACCATTTCTGAAATTTGAGGAATACAAAACGATAAATTGACTTTTTCAGTTGTTTCAAGATTCATTGATTTAAACAGTCAGACAGTCAATTTAAGCTAGCTAGGGTCGTAAAATACTGGAACAGCTTACCATTAAATGTGAGGTCAAGTGCATCTGTGAATATTTTCAAACACAATTTGGATAAATACAGAGATTCCCAGGTGTCCAACCCAAGGATACTTGGACAATACTGGGAATTGTCAAATATCATGTTTGAGAAAATTAGATAGTTTAGTTTTCGACATTTGTGTATTAAATGGGTTAGCAATACTATTTGGGTAATGGTCTAATGTCCTTTCCGGTGCTTTCACTAGTCATAATTTGTCTAGTCTTAATTGTAGTACCGTAATTTTTGAGATACTGTGATACATTGTTTTTATACAGGTGTTATAGATGTTTATACCGTGGTATATTTATATTGTAGATTTTGAAGTTGTACTAGATGTGATACCCAAAGAGGTATTATTTATTCATGAATAAATATCCCATCGCAAAAGATTGCCGGTATCACAGTTACCGCAGGCATGAGTGGTACCGGTATACGACATGGACTGGTACGATAACCCGACGAGAGGCCGTGATTCGCAATATGATTAAGCCGTCTCATAAGTTTTCCTCTCCCACAGGATAAATATATACAATGTACATCCTAGGATAAATATGTACATCCTATCCTACCAATAAAGCCATAGGCCTATCGCAATTTCCATGAACAGATGAAGCTAATGTTAAAAGTTAGGAATCCAATGCGAGAAGAAAAATACGTTTTTCGCTGCAACGAACGCGTGTTTCGGTTGCCAAGCAACACACCCATGAGTTCGATGAAGCCCTTATTGGACACGTTTAGTGGCCATAACGATCGTTTCAATATTATGTTGTTGTTGTTGTTGTTCTTTGACACGTTTTTAAAAAATCGCTTTTCTCTTCGAATACTGGACCAATTGCTTTGAAATTTTCAGTGGTTAAAGATTAATTTCTTCGCTAGAAGGCTATTACTTTTATTTATTTCATAATTTTGCGTGAATTCTATGAAATTTGATATTTCGTCTAAAATTTTGCTGTATTATTTTTTATCCATGGGAACACGGATTTTAGTCAGTGTCATGACTGGCTGTACGTTTTGATTCTGCAAAATTCTTGCTACTGGAAATTCAGAACTTTTTTGAGGGTACCGGTAGCGTCAAAGGTACCGGTAAAGACTGATTCGCTCTGGTCTAACGTGTCCATATATTTGTGCGTAGCTCTCTTGTTATATTCAGACGATTTTTCCCAGCGCAAAGCAATTTTCCACGAAAATAAGGAGGGATCTTGTTTCTATTTTGTTTCGATAAAAAACACTTAGGCTTATTTTCTGGAAATGTCTTTTATTTTCATTTATCAAAAACAAAATTAGAAAGTGAGGAATTACGAAATTTTCAAATAATGTATACAAAATATGGAAATAAATATCATTTACTTATAAATAACAAGTGTTTATTGAAATAAAGCGGCGCTCCAGAAGTATGTGTACCAATATGGAGGTAACTAATTTTGTTCGCCTACTTTACATCAAGTTGTGTGAAGGGACGAAAGCCTATGGACAGGGTGTTTATTCACTTAACATAGATTATTAATCATTCAAAACGTGTAGGAGAGATTTCTTGCTATTGACTAGTTCAAAAAAATACGAATAATCGACTAGGTCTAATTTTAGGAGGTGGGCTTATATTAAAATCATTTTTAAAATTCAGGCTAGTTATTATTTTCGGGGAAACACGGCATGACCAAAGGTTCATGGCTGAGCTTTATTAATATTAGGCGTAAGATGGCATGATTTAATTTTTCCATGACTTACGAATCCGTTTGAAAACTCTGTCTGGCATGGGCCAAGATCGTCCACTGATGTAATTATTGGACACGTTAGTGGATATAACGATCGTTTTGATATTATGCTGTTGTTCTTGTTATTCATCATCATTATCATTAAAAAATCGCTTTTTTCTTCGAATACTGGATCAATTGTTTTGAAATTTTCAGTGGTTAAAGATTGTTTTTGCCAGAAGGCTATTACTTTTATTTATTTCTAAATTTCGTATGAAATCTGATAATTCGTCCAACATTTCGCTGTATAATTTAGTCACGGGAACACCGGCCGTCCGGGTTGATTCTGTAAATCCTTGCTACGCGAAACTCGGGAAATTTTTTTAGGGTACCGGTAGAGTCAAAGGTAAGGACTGCTTCGCTCTGGTTAACGTGTTCATATATTTGAGCATTGCTTTCTTGTAAGAACCATCGCAGATAGCCTACAGGTGTCAGTCAGAAGCCATCAACTGTTCTCCGCTGGCCCCACAGTATTTTACTCACGAGTTCCTAGGTAATAAGAGATGTTATATGCCTAATTCGATATATATATATATATATATATATTTCTATTTTATCGATTTGGTCGACAACACGGGTTTATTTTTGCTGTATTTGGGCGACGGGAATTTTGGGGCGACATAATGCTGTAGCCCAAATAGTTTGGGCTTTATTTTCTCCAAGAATCCCTCAAGATAAAGGTCTGAAACTTTTCGTCATTTTCAACATTGCCCTCAACCATCACCACATAATGTTGGATAAGAAATTCGAGCAAAAAAACTCTGTTTTTTGCCGACAGTTTCTAGGCATAGCTATAACCCGTGTTGCTAGTTTTGCTAAATTGTGGCTACAAAAATAAATCATGATTTTCTCTTTTCTAACCCGGTTATCTTTTGGCCAGAATTAGAGGATTAACAGAAAAATTTTTTCGCTATCGTATTGTATTCCAATAATTCACCGGAAACTTATCTGGAACTTGGTACACTGTTATGGTAAATTTCACCTTAATAAAATTGCAAACTTGCAGACGGGACTTATTACGTCATATATAGTCTGAGTCCGCTTTGTCAGATACGATGGAGGGTTGATTTTATCCATCAAATTGATAATGAATTCAGTTTGTAGAAAGAATCGTGCTCGCTTTACCGTGCATAACATAGGTTTTCCATTTGTATTGGAAAAGAGGTCGATGGTTTGGTTGGCAGAAATGGAACACATGTCGCTTTGTAGTACAAACGCTCTAAAATACGGTATACAAAGACATAGTTTTGGATACAACCTTGGGTAGACCTACCATACGTCCCGGTTTGGCCGGGACAGTCCCGGTTTAAACGCCTTTCCCGGTGTCCCGTCCCGGTTAGCAAAATGTCCCGGAATTTTACTTTAGTGAAATTTTCAAAATTAACTCTAACCTGACGCAAAATTATGAAATAATTCCGTCCGAAAAGGCATAACTTTGCTTTAAGTCGAGTCTTATTTTAATATCTTAATTTTTTTAGCTTATTAGGTTGAGTGAAATATCACACATAGCTTTAGAAATCTTTTAGTTAGGGAATAATGAGTGACGCTTATTGCGTCATTATTCTATTGACTTCAATGAAACTGCAGCATTAGAACAAATGTCTGATTTGTGACTTAGTGTTGCTTAAATGTACGTGCATTTTCCTTTAAATAAAGTAATAAAAATTTTTATTCAATCTAAGTAGAATACTTTATTATGCAATATTGAAGCTTATAAATATGGAATAAAAATTTGCCAAGATCAGGCCTTCGGCTTTTCGTCCAGTTATTTCATTCATAGTTTTGAGTTTGTCCCGGATTATGCCCAAGAAATTATGGTAAGTCTAACCTTGGGTATCTCACTACCTCACTATGGGAGCTTCAGGAATATAAGCAGCATTCGAGGCAGTACCTTCCGAGGCGGCATAACAGGTTTCGCATTAGCGATAGTTTCTTCGTAATAGTGAATTCAATATTCTGGGATAGTATATATGGGCACTGTTTTGAATAGCCAGCTGGTTGCGTTCCCCA